TAGATTAATCATGAATATCATATTTAGAATTTTCACTGTTATTATAATTTAGTCACAGAAATCATTTTTAACAACAGCACACTATATGCCATATGGAATTTATAAAACAAATCAAATGTCTTTTCTTTCAAAGAGAGAGGGAAGTTTCATCTCTCACAGTCATATTCTCTTTATCTTTTATTTGTTTTTCTTTTGAGCCTTCCTATCTAACTTTTGATTCTTTTAAAAGAGTTGGACAATTACGGTTCCATTCTTGAGGGTGTTTATGAATTTCTTTGAACACTAAAAACTTACCAGATGTGGTATGGCCCTATGGACTACTTGAGGAAACGATCTACGGCACTGGTTTTGATATAACACGTAGTGTTTCATGCAGCGTGTGTAGGTGTAGTTTTATATTCAGATTTCTTTTCAGCTACTACGAAAGGAAAGGAATCTCAAACTTTAGATGCACGATGATCATTTTGAAGGGTGCAATATCCTTTGCTGAAACAAATGTCGAAAGGGAGATCCATTTGGAATTTTAACAAATTATTCATGGAATTTTGAAATTTAACTAACCATCATCTTTCACCATCGCATTCCTCTTCATTTTTTAGCCTGACCCACACACACTGTCTTTATTTTAGCTTTTTTACTTTAGTTCTATCTAAGCTTTAATATAACCTTTTAAATAGTTGGAATTATCAATCATGTTAACGTCGCTTCTTTGACCAAAACACGACATAACAGTATTCCAAAGGTGGGTAAACAAAACTTACAAACTATAACCAGACTCGCGATGAGAAAATTTGAGTAGTGTACATGGCATTGCAAGTTATAATTTCATATGACCATTGTATGCCAAAAACTCTAAAAAAGAGAGAATATCTTGACCAACTGTTTCGTAATACATACATTATTCAGATATAACAACAATAAAGCTATAGAATGATTAGTTGAATGTTGAAAAGGAATGATCATAAGTAACCAAAACTCTTTATCCATGTTGGACAAGAATTCAACTAAAGCACGCCATTTAGTAATGGATGTCACTGTTGAAGTAATACGTAGCTAGCCAGCTTTATTTCTGGAGACCAACTTTAGTATATTGGCCTTGACGAGGCAAAGAGTTGTGGACCTTGTTGGTTTTTTTCTCCTCATCCATGAACCAAGTTGGTGATGGAAAATAGTGCAACGAAGTATGGTTGGAGAAGAAAGAATGAAGAGTTGATGAGGGTGTTTGTGTCTGTGAGTAATTGGAAGGAATAATGCAGAATATGGTGGTCTTCGAGTAGGATCCATTATATAAATTATCCAACTTCTTTCTCTTCCTCTTTATCCCAGCATTTAGTGCTTTCCTCTTCAGCAATCCATTCTTCCTTTGTTGTTCACCCTTTTCTTTCTCTAGTTACCCATCTCCTACCTTCTTAACATAACTAGGTTATCATCACAAATTATAATCAATAATTAACCCTTGTAATCAAGTTCGCATGGTTATCTAGCAAGATTTTTTTGGGTGTTAATTGTCAATAATATGAAAAAATTACAAATATGCTAAATCGACCATTTTCGTTATTTTATTGTTTACATTTGATGATTGAATAGGTGAAGCATCCATTGATTGGATGATTAACTGTGGTCAAACGTTGATGAATTAATGATAACTTTTTTAGACTCAAATGTAAGCAAAAATAATCTTCAATTTATTAATAAAAAATAATTTGTATAATTCAATTACTTTCAAAAACAATCTTTTTGTAAAGCGTTATCCTTTAAAACTTGATATACCAATAAAAAATCGTTATAAAAAAATTTAATTAATATTTAGGAGATTATTGTGGAAATAGTATAATTAAATGAGATGAAATACTTAAAAAATGTGTTTATATTTTGACTCGTAATTCATTTTTTCAATACGTGTGAATATAAAGAGAATATAAGTATATATATATATATATATATATATATATATATATATATATATATATGTTTTACATTTTTAAGGAGAAAATTTACTTTACTCCAAGAGATTAATACTCGTAACTTTTTTTTTTCAAAGTCATTTTTATCATCACGAGAACAAATTTACTTATAAAGACAAAAAATAATTAATAATTTTATTAAACAGTTAAATTCATTTTTTTATATATATTTACATAGAATAAAAACATGTCTGCATGTTACTTTGTTTCTTTCTTTTACATTACACTATTTGCTGTGCGAACAAAAAATTGTCTTATATTCTGTGATCCAGTTTGATTTTATGTTCTGTGATTTTTTTTATGATTTTTTTAAACATCTATAAAACTAATGCAAAAATTAACGCAATTTGTCTTTTCAGTTAATAAAAAATTTAAAAAAATCATACAAAAAAATGAAACATTTTTAAGCTAAATAACTTTTGTCCCCTTATTTTTTACTTTTTTTTAATTTAATTTCACTATTATTTTTAACATCAATTTTATTTTTTAAATAGTCAATGTTATACTTTTTATCATTAAATTATCTAACACAACAATAGAGTTTAATAAAGAAATTAACATGTACGACAAGATGATTCTTACGGCATTAATATTTTTCTTGTTAACATAAACGTGATCAGACATATCAGAATCATATTGAGTTATATCAACTAGTACAATTACATAAATATTCCATTATATTTTTCGTTAAATAATTCAACCAAATGGAAAGAATAACGTTAATTTATTCAAAAAAAAAAAAAACTATTTAAGCAAAATTATAATAATAAAATAAACTTATAATTGACTACCTTTGATGGCCTCTAAGTTCCTAACCACTCACTACCTTGTCTACGTTTCCAGTGTCTGAGGCTCGACATCCTCGTCACCTGAGTTGGATAACAAAAAAAAAACGTAATTTTTTAGTGCGCCAGAACCCAAAGAGAACTAAATACAGAGAGGGTTACGTGAATATATCCAACGACGAGTTTAATCGGACTATAATTTTGAATCTGATAATTACTCTTAAATTTATATAACTATTCTTAAACTCTCACCTTTTATACTAAACATACCAGTACTACTTATGTCACTTCTAATTATCACTGTTATTATAGTTATTCAACATTTATCCTAATATATACTAAACATATGATCAATGTTTATGTTGCTTTTCATTGTGTTGATATGTTGTTGTATTTAATGATGTTAATTTTGACCACTAAACGAGCTTACGTTTGAGCTGCATTCTTTTAGCTTGCTGCCAACAAACGAAATCTCAGAAATTATAAACTTCTTATGTGCGCAACCTCACAGCTCCAATTAAAGTTTACGTGTGATTTTAATTAGAAAATTAATTACTTCTGATAACAGATGAGCTGCTATATGCCGGCAGCACTGATGTTCTTAGTTTCATTTGAACCATATTTTTGTATAAGGGGGATTGGTCCCTGCATGTACAGTTTCAACTCACGTGATAAGTAGTCTTCTGCATAATTGATACCAATTATATATATCATTTGGAAAAAGTGATTCACATCCTTTAGATCCTTACAACTAAAACTAAGAAAATGACCATCACATTATATAAACTACAAAGAGACTACGTAAAGAATTTATACAATTTAATGTGATGACGTACGTATAAAGCTTTCATCACTTTTCTAATGCAATACGAAACTCTTTGTGGTGAATACTAGACCCTGTGTTAGTGTGTTATAACCGAAGAAACAAAGTTGCCTCAATAATATGCCTTTCCCTCTCTTTTGGCGTGTGAAGAAAAAGCAAATTCATTTTGGTTATCTTTACGTTTTGTCCTTTATCTGAGTCATGCCATATTCATGAGCTTCTGGTCAGTATAAATTTTGATTACCTTTATCATGGATAGATAGATGATCTACAATTATGGTTTCTATGAATCATTACTGTCAATGCTTTTACTTTGTTTTGGATCGCTATCTGTACCACTAATTGCTACGCTTCTACGATTCAATGATTTAAATTCTAAATTACAATTTTTGTTGGAGAGCAGCTTTTTATCCAATCAATAGATATGATTTCATGAACTCGCAGAAAGTGGTGCTCTTCCTTTTGGTAAATAAAGGGAAGCACTGATATTACATTAATTTCATGAATATATTTTTCTGCCACATCAGTAGGTGTGTCTGTAAAATGTATTGTTGTTAACTAAGATATACAGAATTAAGATGGCTTCATGGGTTTGACACCATCTCAACACTGCATGAACAAAAAGAAATTATATCGCATCTAAAATATTATATTAACATTGAATAAATCAAGAGATAAGAATTTTTATAAATTATTCTTCTTTTTATATTCTAAGTAATGTTGTTATACACCTCAAATTACAACAGAAATTAAGGAGGAATTTGTGTAGAGTGTACAAACTACGTATGAAAATGAAAGTTAATAATATAATAACCCTTAATTCAACATGACTATTGGTCAAGTCATTGTAGAACTATCTATAAGGCCATACAGGCTCAATAATTTGCAGAAACACACAAAGCTTGACTGCAGATTAGAAAGCGCATTTGGTATTGACCACCCCAAAGAAAGTTACATCAACAACATACTTTTAACAAAATGTCACCATTGCAGCACACACTTGCTCAATCATTCCCCTCTTTTTTCATACATTCTTTAATAAATGGGGCAGAATTAATAATCTTTTTTCATGATGGAAAAAGTTTAGATAAATTAGTTCCCTAAGAAGCTCAATATAGGTTTCTAACTTAATGTTTATAATATTTACTAATAACATCTTTGCAACTATAAATAAGACTTGAAATTATACTTTTTTATCTGAGTTGAGTCCTCATTAAAGAGACTAACTTTAGCTGAATTTACTTTAAACATACGCATATTTCCGTATGCATTTGGTGAATATAAAATTTGTCTTTTGATTAGTGGGGTTGCCCCACCGTTGCCTCCATGATAGACAACTTTCATCCATAAATACCCTGCTTTGTTTGCGTGTGTCCTCCACATCCTCCATCAGTTATCTCTTCCTCAAGTGTAAGTTCACCCTTGTTCATGGCATCAGATCACTCATCCCTCAACCAGACCAAATTTGTGCTCCCAAACAATGACCTTGAGCAACAAGAAACTCTGGAGGTTGAAAGCGAGGACTTTGATTACTCGAAGCGATCTCAGTGGCTACGTGCCGCTGTTCTAGGAGCCAATGACGGGTTGGTCTCAACGGCATCTCTAATGATGGGTGTGGGAGCAGTGAAGCAAGACATAAAAGTCATGATCCTAACAGGGTTTGCAGGGCTAGTGGCAGGGGCATGCAGCATGGCCATAGGGGAGTTTGTGTCTGTGTACTCACAACTGGACATAGAAGTTGCTCAGATGAAAAGGGACAATGGCAGACACAGAAATGAAGAGGAAGATGAGAAGGAGAAAGAGAGTTTACCAAACCCTATGCATGCTGCAGCAGCCTCAGCTTTAGCATTTTCTGTTGGTGCAATGGTGCCTCTTCTTGCGGCCTCTTTCATAAGGGAGTATAAGGTGAGGCTTGGTGTGGTTTTGGGAGCAGTGAGTTTTGCTCTTGTGGTGTTTGGTTGGTTGGGGGCAGTGTTGGGTAAGGCTCCAACATTGAGGTCTTGTGTGAGAGTCTTGGTTGGGGGTTGGTTAGCCATGGCCATAACTTTTGGGCTAACCAAGTTGATAGGGTCAAGTGGTCTTTAGTTCCCAATATATATATGTCTTTGTGAAGTGAGTTTTGCTAACTGGGTATTAATATTTGTGAACTAAGTATGTCTTTAATCACCTCTCCTCCAGAGTCCCCTCATTTTTGCTTTTCATAATAAATGATGAGGTGAGACGTGAATACAAGAAAATTGGCTTTGCAATAAGCTACCTTTAAAGGTCTATCAGAACCTTTTATACATGTATTGATGTTTATGTATGAAAAATCAAGAGCTATTGCCTCACGAAGGAAAGAAGATATAAATAATACAATAATCAAAACTGTGTAGACCTCTCATTTGAGTGGAAAATAATTTATTTTTTTAATACAACCAGTATTGCATATTAATTGAAAACTAATGTGACCTCAAGCTCTACAAAAAGCTCATTTACTAACAAAGTGAATAAATTTTTTTATTAAACTTGAGTTGGAATTCTCAAAACGTATAATATTTTTCTCCTAAAGCTACTTTATCCTAGTTTTCCATTTGCGTATTGGATATGACTATATATATATATATATATATATATATATATATATATATATATATATATATATATATATATATGAAGAGAGTTTTGAAGATATTTTTAGTTTAAAGAGAGTTTTTAAATTAAAAGAACCAAATAACTTCTAACAAATTTTATTTTGAACTCTAACTTTTGTGTAGCATATTTCAGTTCGGCCAATCTCATTAAAGCGTATGGTAATTTTAATGGCAGATTTTTTTTTTAAACTTGTATTTACAATTTCAACAGTTACAGTCTTGAACACAAATAATTCAAAAGCAAATTTTATATATTGCTAAAAGTTGGTGGTTACTTGAAAACTTGTTTTATTAATGAAATCATTATTGAATATTGAAATTCTATTAATTAATTATTAATTTTAGTTAAGAATTAGTAGTTAATATTCTTTCAGTGGTGAAACAATGTTTCTTCGGTGAAGTTGGCGAAGGACAACTTAGTGGTCCAGTGATGCGGATCGAAAATGGAATACCTAAATGCTGTCGTACGTATTGGTTGGATTGAACATAAATTTTGTTGTGTGCAAAAGCGAGGATATACAAATTTTATATACTTTTTTGTGGAATTGTATTTGTTTGATTTTGTAGGTGTATCAGGATCTTGATATAAAGGAGACAATTTTACTCGACTATACCAGTTTTCGGGTGTATGTAAAATTTAAATTTCCATGATTTTTACTTTTATGATTACTCTATTTTGTTGTGATTCATGAAATAACAAGACAACTGCATTTGCCTCTCTTATTCCGTATTTCAACATGTTTATAATACAAGTGCAAAAGGTTGTTTCAATGTGTGATGTCTCGGTTTTATTCAAGCATAAGATAGTACTTGAAATGATCATTGGCCAAATCTCTTCCCTAACTTCCATCAGGGGAATGTCGTTTTTCAATCTTGTCAGAACTTGTTAATTTTTCTGGTGTTGGTATTTCTCCATACTAGGATTTAATGAAGAATGGAGATGAATGGTTAACTTATGGAGATGAGGATGAAGAAATGGCCAGGTGCCACCACCTTAAAAGATTGGGGAGAGGTTCCATGTTGAGGGCTAGGATGTCAAGTACTACAAAATACGAATGGAAAAAATTGCCGTAATCAGCAATGACCCAAACAAAATCATGGGGTGACAACAATTAGTGTCCACCAAATTAGAGGTGCAGAGTATCTCAAATGACTCAAGAGAACAATTTATACAGACCTAAACTAAATAATTATTAAATAGAAATATTACATGTAACATTTTATAGTGCACTTAAATCATGTTAATGGCCTTAATATTAAGAAACAAGACTCTTCTTCAGGCCCAATAATATTGAAATATAATCAATTGATAAAAAATATTGGGATAAAGAATTATTTGTGGGGCCCAAAGATGATAAAGAGCTGGAAACGTAAATATGATGGATAAACAGTCATGTGGGAAAGTGTTTTAGATCCTAGATTTGATACTTCTAAATTAATAAGTGAGATTTTTCTTTCTTTATCAATTGTCTGTCTTATCCAATTCTGTCACTCCTCAGCCAACCTTTCGTATGTCTCTTCCAACAATATATTGTGTTCTCAGTGCGCATGAGGAGCAAGTGAATGAGAATGTGTTTTTCTCATCTCCATCGTTGTTGTCAACGATTCTCTCCAAGGAACTCTAGAATTAGACGTCAAAGTGTTAGAGAAAGAGGTAGATTGGGAAAATAGGGAGAGAAAAAAAGAAAGAAGATAAATTCTCCTCAACTGATTTGAAAATAATTAAATCTGACGGCTCAAGTACACTCTCCCAGCGTGGGAGATATGGCAGGCTATCCAAGAACCTTCACCATGTCAATATATCGAACATATAATTATCAAGCTCTACGGGGTTTAGTTGAAGCTTTGCCCGTTATACCAGATTCCATAAACAAATGCTTGGTAGGGAAAACCAAAAGGATATATAGCTCGCGAGAAATAGTGTCTCTGGCCACAATTATGGAAAATTTTTGTACAAAAGTACACTCGTAAACCAAGTCATCAAATTTTTAGTCAAATCAATAACTACTCCCGAAAAATTTTCCTTTTCCTCACTGAATTGCATTTAATGTAGAACCCTTATTTGCTTCCATGTATACCACAGTATGTGTATAATATGGTAGTAATTCACAAAATTTGGACCTTGCCAGTTACCTTTTCCGCACCTTTTTTATCTGAGCTTCCCACCACCTGACAAGAGAATTTGAGTTTCATCTGTTACACTTTTGCATCTCCAAGACAGAGCGCCCATCCCTATGAGTCTTTGTATATCATCTTTGGTGGAATCCAGCCCCATCCTCAACAAATCCTTTGAAGCATTTTATAAAACAAAACATTCGCCAAAACCTTGTTTCTCAGAAATGAATACTTCGGTGCCCACACATCAAATTCTCCTCATTGTATCTTGAAAAGATTCTTCAATTTCACAACCAACCTCCATTCCTCCATAGACAGATCATCCTATATCAATCAACAGATGTAACTTAAAAGACATTTTCAACTAAATCCATGAACAGTTAAATACATTGCTCATGATGCTTATTATTACAGACTTACCCGATAATTAGCTTTGAGAATATCAATAGATCTCCGTGAAATATGGCTTACAAGTTCATCATCGATCTCAAAATGTCTCCCATACATTTTCTGTTGCTCTTCAGGATTGCTGCCAACAATCTGTAAAATCAATTGAAGGCTAACAGTAAGATTGCCACCAGAATACACAAGGCAACTAGAAAATCAGTCCATTTCTCCCTATCATCCACCTCTTAACTTTTCTCTTACCACTTTCTCAACAACCATCGTGTATTGATCATGTCTAAATCATGTAAATGGAATATAAAATTCTGCCGACGAATTAAATAAAACCATTACACTTCAAATAAACTTAAAAAAGACATTAATGATCATTTCTCCCTTTGACATAGTGCAACTTAAAGTTAGAAGCTTTTTGGTTCTTGTTAAATACACAGGTTTTTAATCAATATTTCCAATTCTATTTTCATTGGGTAATAAATTCGACAGTTCAGAGAGGTTCATTTTCAAAGATTTAACCAGGTCAAGAACATACCTTAATGGCCACTTTCTGCCCCTTCTTTGCATAATCAACAGGTTTATGGTTATTCTCAATGGATGCAATGCGACCAATATCAATGAACTCTCTAGAAGGAATGCAAATTGGAGTCCCAATCTGTCAAACAGACAAATATTAGCTTCTGTGCATTGTGCACAACAGGCTTCACAACATAACATGACCCATCATAAACTCAAACTAAAGGGGATACTCAATTCACCGATAAATAATCTTAATGCATCTTCAACAGGGCAAGCATATACAAAATGAGCACACATTAACAATAACGATTTAAAATGGGAGCAAAACCAAACAGAGAGATTTAAAAAAAATATATATATACATAAATCAAGTGTGATTACACACTAAGTGATGTGAACAAGTTACCATTTGGATAAGAGAATTATTCTAGCTCTACAAACCGAATGTATAATACAAAATCCAGCTGATAAATTACGTAGCTTGATGAGGAGGAACGAGCACAATATTGCAGTTCTATATTTAGTTTATACTTGTGTGCGTGCGAGACAAGGAACACCAATTTAATATGTCACAGCAAAAAAGACATACAATATTAATAGTGAAGATCTCCTCCAAACTTTGAAGAATCCATATTTAAGTTTTCCAAGTATGATCAACAGGCTGATGTGTATTTATGTAGATGGAAAATGAGGAAAAGGATGAAAAACAAGGAGCTTTGAAAAGTTAAATTTAACTATGGGTCAAAAGTCACCTTCGGCTCACTTTCATGTTAAAAAGTGACCAAAATGTGAGAGGTGGAGAGTATAAATAAGAAGCACTCCACTTTCACTCTTTGTTGTACCAACTACCAAGCATGTGTGAAACAATTTTCATGCATAAATTCCCACCTCACCACATTCCAATTAGTCAAACCACAGCCTAGATTATACATGGGGTAAAGAAATATAATTGCTTCTATGTCAAAAATAGCTTTAAAACCCAAAAAAAACTGCTGGATTCACCAGAGAAATTACAATCATATAAAAAAAACACCTCAATAAAAAATAATAATACCTTTGCAATGCCTTCAAGGATATCAACTCCCAAAACAATTGGGTCCTTCTTGTTGAAAATGCAATTTGGTAAGATTTTAAAAACACATGGGAAGACTGCCTCATCAGCAGCTTCTTTCTTTTTCTCCTCTTTAATGTTGTCAATATAAGCTTTAAATTGATCGAACAGATGATAAATGATATCAGCAATAAATATCTTCACACCCAATTCATCTGCCAGTTCCCTAGCCTCAGGAGTAACTTTGACATCAAATGCCAATATGGCAGCATACTCTCGCTTTTTTTCAAGCATTACACTGGCCTTCATCACATCCTTTTTGTGTACAGGACCAATGCTTATACCACTAACAGGGATACTAACTTCTGGAGTTTTCAAAAATTCCAACAATGCTTCCAAGGAACCAAGGGTAGATGCCTGTACACAAACACCCTCACCAGTCCTGTCAATCCTGCTCATGACTGACCGCATATCTTCCATGGCTGCTTCTTTGACATCTTCCAAATCATCATCAGGCTTCACCACATACAAACCAGTGCCAGCAATGGCATGCTCAAGGCCCTGAATGAAACACAATAAAACCAAAGCTTAAGCATTCATTAGCACGAGAAAGACAATAGGATAAAAAAAAAAAAGACCAATCAATAATCACCAAGAAATACCTGGGCAGTGATTTTAATACCCATTGCAGCTTTAATTTCCTTGTGATGAAGATATGTTCCCTGAAATTATATCATTATTACTTAGTTGTGAAGTGTAAGAGATACTAAATATAATACACTCTCTGCCTGGATGAAATTTGTCATTATAGAACACATTACTCAGTAATAAAATTGCTGATGTTTGATATATATTGATTTGCTCTAATAGTTTTCCTGTCTAAATTAATCATCCAAGACCCACCCCACCACCAAGAGGGCTATTATTGTATATAAAATTATGAGTGCAATTGAATGGAACAAAATGGAAGTAGAATAGAATGAAATGAAGTTACTATTTCATGGTACAGATAATTTTATGATGAAATGGAAAAGAATAGAAAAGGCTGGTCCCATTACATAACCTTCAAATTGAAGGGTAAGAGAAAGAGGGCCACCGTAGGAGTGGAAAAGAATTCAATTCCGTGGGAGAGAAAGACCTCTTGCAACTTACAACTATTGATTCACTAAACAGCACAGTATGAACAATGAACAACTATACTAGCTGGAACATTTCTTAGCTCTAGCTTATAGAAATCTCAAAATTATCATTGACAAAGACACATCAGTTACAAATACATGCTTTTAGTGACCCGAGAATGAGTAATTCTTTCATTCACCATCAACAAAGTTAACTCCTAAGCTTTGACACCTTTCGGAAAATGGCATCCTCTTTCATAGCCAAAGACGCCTGCATACACTCGCTATATTGGCTACATCAAGATTTATGGATCCTAAGGAACAAAAGTAATCTAAACCGCTTATAAACTCTCTTATTGTCAAACTTAGCCTACATGACTAGATTTACACATGGTTTTCCCTAAAAAAGCACAGCTATAGTTTATTTTGTTATAAAAAATAGTGCAGTATTAACCAAGTATAATATAAACTATATTAGTTTGCTGTATCACTAATTTGAAATCATACATGATAGTAATTATGAATATGTTATAAAATTAAGTTTGAAGTACTAGGAATAGAAGGATATTTCTTTAAATAATACTTTTGAGGAATGTAAACTCCAACGAGTTCACTAGTTAGTCTTACTAGTTGAGTTTACCTAAACTATAAAGGCTAACAATCTTAGAAACAACAGTAGTTAGTGTCAGCTATGTTATTCAGGCAGAGTATCTCAATAATTAATATACTTAGAATTGAGACTTTCTGAAGTTAAAACCCTCTAACAGGCAAAGGTTTCATCTGAACCAGTAGTATATTATTTACATTAAGAATTGTCAATGAAACTTCACTCTGTAGCATATGAATGAGAAAAAAAATCCAAATAGCAAGTTAATGCACCCTTTGGGTTTTTGGCTTAGCTCCACCATGTTAAGCACAATGGTCAGATCTCATAATCCCTTATTTAGCTTCCAACACTTTAAAGATCATATGAACTCATTAAAATTTCAAAGCATTTTTTCCCTCCAAAACCATACTTACCATGAAATTAATAAATCCAGACCAAATAATCTCTTGTTCACATTCATAGTAGATAGTTACGCAGCAAAGTTGAAATATTTCTACAAGTAAATAATGTGACAATTAAATAATGAAATAAATAATTCTGTGACCATACCTTGACACGTAGTTCTTTCATTGGATGAGGTGTCAATAAAGCTCGAATTGACGTAACAATTGGACCCTATAATAAAAATTTCATTAGGCTTAACTAGAGATCAGGTGCTAAAAAAATGATGCAGCGAGACACTTGCCTGCATGCCGCAAACAACTATTTGTTCTCCTTCGTGAAGAACACCATTAACTAAAACAACATCAATAGTAGTTCCGTGGCCTTCCACAACCTTCACCTCTAAAACAGTACACTGGTGGCCACAATAAACAAACAATTAGATCCCTAACAGTTAAACCATCATAAAGAATTCAACTAACCTTTACATTATGTAACAATAAAGCTACCTGCACTTCTTCACTGTATGTAAGTTTCTCAACCATTGTTTTTTGGGTCCATTGAACCAATAGTAACAACAGATCGGGAATTCCTTCACCACTGCAATATCAAAAAGCAAAAAACAATGTCAACAGAACACCATCCACATGACATGTAGTAAGCAGATTGTGGAATAGTTTTAGGCAACACAAATTAAAATGATAGTCTGTCCTAAGGCAAAGTTTAGGCAGTTTCAACATGTTGTGTCCCAAGGTAAATGGAAATCTGCCACACTTTTACATACACACCCTCTCCTCTCTCACCAAATCACCTTTTCAGATAATTTCAGGCAGAGTTGGACAGTTTGAAACCATTTTGAAACATTGCAAAGAAGTTAAGATTTTCTGGAACACACTAAAATACTATAATCTAGAAGAAATATAAGATGTTTCCTAATAGTGGAAAAAATGTTAAAGCAAAAATGGACTAAAATTGTTCAAGACCAACAAAATGTTTGGTCTAGAAATTGGGTTTTTTCCAAAATGATGACACATGTAGTACTGGCATATATTGACATCAGTGTTAGTATAGTTTACTAAGCAGTAAAATCAGACATCTGTTTGCATCCATTTTTCTTGTTCTAAATGACAAAGAAGCATCCACATTCATAAGACCAGAGAACTTGATCCAATGGAAATTTTCACCACATAAAACAGATGGTGAAAGCCCAACTATGTCTCCCAAAGCAGCCACTTTGTAACTTATAATGCCAAACTTATTTTTATTTCTAACAGGAGGGTGAGGTAGCAGAGTATTATGATTACTGGCTGCAGTTACCTTATTGCACTTGTAGGCACAATGCTGAATGTTTCTCCCATTTCTTTGTTTTTATAATACAACTCGGTATTCATCCCTTGTTCTTTGAATTGTGTAATAATCTAGCAATGAAACAGAACAAAATTAGGGTTACAAGGAATAAAATAGCCCCTGTCCAAGTAAAAAAAATCTTTGGTTACCTGAGTGAGCCTCATATTGAACTCATTTTGAACATCCTTAGTCTGCTGTTTCATTGCTTTGACAATTGGAGAATTGCGACATGTTTTCCATCCATAAAGCCTATCAACCTACAAAGTTCAAGAACAGTGCAACATTAACATCACCTATTAAAAAAACTCAAAAAAGTATTTAGGCAGAAATACTCACCTTATTTAAGGCAACGATGAATTCTGTATTCCTCATTTTTAATAGATTTAATGATTCTATTGTTTGTTGCTCTAACCCATGCATAATGTCAACAACCAAAATTGCAATATCACATAGGCCTGAACCACGAGACCTCAAGTTAGTAAATGACTCGTGTCCAGGGGTATCAATAACCAGTAAACCAGGAACTTTCAGCTTTGCATCGGCTTTCAGTTCCTTAGTTCTTTCACGTATGTTCTCAGCAGGAAAGTATGTTGCACCAATCTGTTGTGTGATACCTCCAGCCTCACCCTCCTGAACATTAGTACCTCGAATACAATCCAGCAGCTTGGTCTTGCCAGTATCCACATGCCCCATGATACAGCAAATTGGGGAGCGGAGGTTCTCATCATTAGGCTTAGGAGGGGCAGCTAACTTTCTTCTGTCGGCAATCACAGCATTAGCTTGCTTTCCACTTTCAGTTTCTTCAGCCACAGGCTTAGAAACAGTTTTATTAGTAGCCCCTGCTGCAAAGGAGGAAAACAAAGATAATTTTTACATTAGAAGGAAACTGATTATTAGTAAAGAATAAAAAGATTAAACTTCATTAGGGAAACAAAAGTATAAGTCATATCCATTCACAAACCCCTAGTTACTTGGAGACACAACAGTAGCAAGTAACAACCAAACTTGTGGCACAGGGAAATCTACTAGGTCAATCAAACATCATTTGTTATAATCTAATCTAACGTTGGATATAAAATTACTAATTTTTTTCATAATAGCCAGAAAAACATGCAGCACAATGCCAGTGTCAGGTTTGACACCACTTCCTGTAGCAAATAAAATATCTCAACAATTTAAAACTTTATGAAAGCAAAGCAGGAGATATTCAATATAACCAAGAAGTGACTTGCTTTAGGGAAAAAAAAACTAAGTTCTTGATTAAAAAAATCAAAGAACCATAGCTTTTAATTCTCTATACCAAATATAAGTTCATAGACGTGTATACTTTATGCTATAAGGGTACAACAATAGCGACCAGATAGCTATGGCACCAATCTTGTAGTTTTCAATCATCTAAAGGTTTCTAGCAGTATAAGAACAAAAAAAAATGTGAATAAAATGCAAATCTCACCAGCATTCTGAGTAGGTGCGGCATTTTTAATCTCCTTTTTGCTAACAGATTTAGATTCGGAGTCAGCCTCTTCGTCAGCAAATGCACCTTTGGCATTCAAATTAACATCGTCCCAGCTTTTTGCATCCCATTCATCCTCTTCATCATCTTCCACTGCATCCTCTTCAACAGCCACAGGAAGTTCAACTTTGTCATCCACCTGAATCGACTCCACTTCTTCAATGTTTTCTGATGCCTCTGAAACTACATCAGTGGTAATCTCCTTTGCTTCCACAATTTCAGCTGTCTGAGCAGCAGCAGCACCATTCTGATTTCTATTATTATGCTTTGCCTTCTTTGTCTGATATATGGGTTTTTTGGCTGGAGCACCAGAGTCCCCAGAAGGGAGAGTCATACCCCCAGTGTTATTGAGAATCTGCCTCCTCATTGCCTCCAACCGGCGGGCTTCTTCCTTCTGCTTACCAGTTAACAGTTTACCTTCTTGTTTTTTTTTCTGGAGTTTCTCCTTTTCTCTTTCCTTCTTTCTACGTTTAGCCTCTTCCGCCTGTCTCTCAAGTTCCTCTTGCCTGCGTCGCTCCTCTTCTTCCTTCTTTAACCTCTCTTCCTCTTCTCTTTTCTTCTTTTCTTCAGCCTCTTTTCTTCGAGCTAGTGCCTCTTGCATCTCTCTAACATGCTTTGGCACTTTCTTATCAGCTGCCTTAGCCTTTGAGTCATTCTTCTTTGGTTCAATTGCCTCAGCTTTAACTTCTGCTAATTCATTTTCTGGTGCACTTCCTACTGCTGCTGCTGCAGCAGCAGCTGCCTTCTTCTCCTTTTCCTTTTCCTTTTTCTTCTTCTTCTTCTTTGCAGCAGCTGACTCTACGACCTCCTCTTCACCTTCCTTATCCCCAGACGCATCAGCAGCAACTGGACCAACTTCAGGAGTAGGCTGAACTTTATCATCCTGTGGTGCAGAAGCTGTTGGTTTTGGTATAGGAGCCTCACCAAGCTCTGCAAGAAGCTTATCCAAATCTTCCTCCTCTTGGGCAGTTCTTCCACTCTTTTTCTTATTCTTCTTCTTATTTTTGGAAGTTTCAGCAACCCCTTCACTATTATTAAGATTGCTGTTGCCAGAATCAGCACTACCAGCACTGGGTGCCTCAGGCTGAACTACATCCACATTTTCATCACTCCCTTTGGCAGTAGTACTGCTGCCCTTCTTTTTAGAGGACTTCTTTTTACCTGAAAATGAAAATATAGAAACACCATCCTCATCCTCATCCTTGTCATCACCATCCTTACCAGAGTCGGGCACATTAACATCATCCTCAACAGAAACACCTTTGCTCCCGGAACTTACAGCCTTCTTGGAAGACTTCTTTTTCTTGCCAGTAAAAGTAATTGGTCCAATATCGTCGTCATCATCACCGCCACCATCCTCCTTCTCCTCTCCATCATCAATCTCACCGAGAACAACAGCTGAAAACACAACACCACCCTTCTTACTCCCTTTCGAAGACTTCTTCTTCCCCGTGAAAGCAATAACAGGTTCATCATCATCATTCTTATCATCCACCACCTCCCCATCCCCACCATCATCTATAGCATCAAAAGCCGCGGCTGCGAACAAACTACCACCGCTTTTCTTCGAAGCCTTCGAGGACTTTTTCTTTCCAGTAAAACTAACCACCGGCTCATCCTCCTCCTCCTCACCACCACCATCATCATCACCAATGGCATCAAAAGCAGATGCACTGAACAAACTACCACGTCCTTTCTTCGAGGCCTTCTTACCGGAGAAACTAACCACTGGTCCATCCTCTTCAGATTTATCTTCATCATCACCTTCCTCATCACCAAGCAAACCAAAGCCAGATGCAGTAAACGCACTACTCCCACCACCTTTCTTGTTTTTCCCCTTCTTCCCAGCAAACACAACTTCAGGCACATCCACGCCATCATCAACATCACCATCACCATCATCATCATCATTACTCTTACCTTTAGAATTACCTTTCTTACCTTTCTTCTTTCCAGCCGCAGCAGGTATCTCTTCCATCGTCGGCGCTGGCTCTTCTGATAGCTCCGTTCCGATGGAATACTCATCGTCGTCGATGACCACCCCCTTCTTCTTCGATTTTCCACCTCCGCCGCCTTGTTGTGAAGCGTTATCTTCGTCCCTAGCAGTAGGCTTTTTCTTCCCCATGTCCGATTAGGGTTTTCACTTCTGCCGCAGGTTTGAGTGGAAACGACACCGCGTTGGAATCACGAAACTGTTAAATGGAAAGGGAAATCCAGTCGAAGGAACAATAATAAGATCGATTCGTAAGAACTCTACGCCAAAAAAGACAATAAAACAACAAAATAAAAAGGAGATTCCTGTAGAGCGCACCTTAAGTCAATCTGAAGGCAACGTAGAGAATCTGGGACGCAAGGGAAAGAGAACGCTGGTTACGATTGTGTTGAACTGTGACCAGAAGAAAGTGATTTGGTCGGAGACAATAGAGCGGCGGTGAAAGAATGAGAACAAAGATTGGAGCCCTTAAAGGAATGTGACGTGAATGTGTAAAAAAATATTAAATAGTACATTGGTGTGTATGGATGAATGTATCATGTGAATTGATAAAAGAAAGAAGACATTAAAAAATAAAAAAAATGAAATAGATACAGTGTTCCTGTTCTAGGGTTGTATTTCTGTTTGTGTTATAGAATAATGTTATTATTTTAGAGAAACAAATACTGAAAATAAAATTAGAAAAACTTAAATTGAAAAAAATAGATATATGTTATATTATTTATATTTAAATTTGTTACGGAGTCTATTTTTGTGATTGATTATGGGTCATTAATAGAAACGATTTTTTTTTTTTAAGAAATGATTATTGAATCAGACATGACAAAAAAATAAAACAAATATATATTAAATTGTGATTTATAAACTTGTTTAAAAAGTACATATTATCATTTGTAAAGATTTTTAAATAACATCAAATACACAATAGAAATAAAAATAAAAAATTTTATATATGATTGATCTTCTTGTACAATAAAACAATACTATTAAAAATTAAAATTCTTAAGTCATGGTTCATTTCCCCAATACTTTTTAAATTGGTTTTCTAAAAAAACTTAAATATTATTTTAATTAAGTAGATTAAGATCACTCACCCCAAGAAAAAATGTTTAAAAATCAAAACTTGTTTAAGATGAATTAAACCATTAGTTTTTTTGTATCAGGTGTATTTAATATATAAGATGTGACTAAGGTTTAAAATATTTAGATTGTTTTTTGTGGTTGTAAAATTAATTATCTATAGTATTTTTGAGGACTTATTTAATGTGTGATATTTTTATAAAGTAGTTATTAAGAAATATTTGATGTTTTATAGTAGATGTTATTTAATTTATCACATAAGTAGAGAGACATTTTACTTGTAACATAATTTTTTTTATTTTAAGTTGGTAAGTATGATTATCTTATTTGTAAACATGTTTTGTTACAATTATCATCTCTAAACTATTTCATTTTAACAGGAGTTCACACCTTTTGAAAAGAATATTGGATCTATGTCATTTGCTGATACTAATGAGGAGTCCATTGACAAAGTGCAAGATGAATACAACTCAATGACTATATTACTAAGTAACGTGTCAGCTTTAGTGGAAAAGGGAAAATCGTTATACTCACGTGAGAGAGAATGTTAGTTGTAATAAATTGTTCCTATATAGAGCATCTCATGGAGCATGCAGGGGGGAAGAAATGAAATATTGAGTATTCTCTTTCTATTATTTTGCCTTTTTGTCATTATTCTTCTTCTCTCTCATTTTTCCTTTCATTTTGGTGTTTTCATTGCATTAAACTTCATCCACTATGGTCGACACACCTGACCCATTTGATTCCCTTCATCGCAAATTAGAACAGATCTTACTCTCCCAAGCCAATTTTTTCAATACCCTCATGGACATTAACAACCACATCACCCATCTAGAAAACCATATCTCCCTTCCCCCTCCAACACTCAGCTCCCACAAACCGATGAAACTCGACCTCCCATCCTTTGACGGCATTGATCCTCTTGGTTGGATCTTCAAGGTGAATCAGTTTTTTACCTTCCACCAAACACCCAAGGTCCAACGCATTCAGCTCGCCTCTTTCTCTCTTGAAGGAAAAGCCCTTGCATGGTTTCAATGGATGCATAACAACGGATTCTTAACATCGTGGGAATCATTTCTCTAGGCTTTGGAGCTCCGATTTGCTCCTTCAAAGTTCGAGGATCCTATCGCAGCTCTGTGTAAGCTTTCTCATACTCACTCCTTGCAGGATTATCTGTCTGAGTTTGAGATTCTCTCCAACAAGATCTCTGGATATCCCCCTAGTTTTTATCTAAGTTGCTTCATCTCGAAGCTCAAACCACACATCTGCTGTGAAGTAACGGTCCTCCAACCTACCGATTCGAATCAGGTCATCTCCTTTGCTAAACTCCATGACGATAAACAATCCACCTCCCCATTTTCCCGATTTTCTAGACCACCTTCTCAGACTCAAACCACACCACCACCACCACCAACCCCTAAACCTCTCCTTCCCCTCCTCCCCACACCCACCACCAAGTTACCCATTAAACGTCTTAGAGAGGCAGAAATGCAAGATAGAAGAATCTATGTTACAATTGTGATGAACGCTATATACGTGGGCATCGTTGTAAGACCCAGTTCTTACTTCTGATATCCACTGACTCAGATGACGATCTGACCCAGTCTAATGACCCAGATCCACCATCCACAGAGGATCCATCCTCCGAATCAGGCCTCATCAGTCTACACGCTCTCTTGGGTCAATGGGCCCCTCGCACTCTTCGATTAACAGGCTCTCTCAACAGATACCAAGTCCAAATTTTGGTGGACAGTGGAGCTACACACAACTTCATCCAGAGTCGTGTGACCCATTTCCTTCAACTTCACACTAAGCCCACTTCAACCCCTCTGAAGGTAATGGTAGGTAACAGTGATTTCCTTCCATGCGTCACTCTTTGCCCCAACGCCCAACTTACACTGGCCTCTTCCATTTATTTGTTGATTTGTATCCTTTAGAATTGTCTGGTACTTACATTGTCCTAGGGGTTCATTGGCTCACTCAAGTTAGCCCGTTTGTGATGGACTACAATGGCTCATTCATGCGTTTTATGTGGGAAGACACTTTGGTTGAATTAAAAGGAGAAACTAGCCTAACACCTAGCCCAATATCCATCCATCAACTTCGGCGGCTACAACAAACTAATAGTGTGGAGGCCCTTTACCACCTTACACTTAACCAGCCACCTTCATATCACTCATACTCTCTCACACCCTTCCCTACCCAAATCCACACCGACCCCATCTCTTCCTGCATCTGACCACCCTCCACTACAAACACTACTCACCAAATATGCTTCTCTCTTCCAACCACCAACTACTCTACCCCTTCCAGACCCATCAATCACGGTATAACCCTACAACCAAACATTGTCCCAATCTCCATCAAGCCTTACAGATACCCCCACTTTCAAAAGCATGAAATTGAGCAACAGGTGCAACGAATGTTGGATTCTGGTTTTATTAAGCCAAGTACAAGTCCTTTCTCCTCTCCTGTTCTCCTTGTCAAAAATAAAGACGGGACTTGGCGTTTTTGCATTGACTATCGAGCCTTCAACGCAGTCACAATCAAGAACAAGTTTCCAATTCTGACTGTCGATGAATTGTTGGACGAGTTGGGTAATGCAACTTGGTTCTCCAAGCTAGACTTATTTTCTGGCTTTCATTAGATTTTGATGCTTCCTTCTTCCTGTGCCAAAGTTGTCTTTCACACTCAGAATGGTCATTTCGAATTCAAAGTGATGTCATTTGGGTTATGCAATACCCCTTCCACTTTTCAAGCCACCATGAATGATCTCTTTCGACCACATCTTCGTCAATTCATCATTGTATTTTTTTGATGATATTTTAGTATATAGCCCAACTCTGGATTCTCATGTTTCCCACCTGGAAAGTACTTTCCAGCTACTGACTCAGCACAACTTCAAACTAAAGGGGGAGAAGTGCTTCATAGAGAAGGAATCCATTCACTATTTAGGACACATCTTGTCTCGTCATGGTGTTCATCTAGATCCCAACAAAGTACAAGTTGTCCTTGATTGGCCTTTACTAACATCAGTCAAATCCCTTCGTGGCTTCTTGGGATTAACAGAGTTTTATCGTCGTTTTGTAAAAGGATACGCCTCAATTGCAACCACCCTCATTGATCTCCTTAAGCGAGATAATTTTGTTTGGCAGGACACTACAACACAGGTCTTCCAACGTTTAAAAGATGCTCTAATAAAAGTCCCAGTGTTAGCTTTACCATGCTTCGATTGCACATTCTTGGTGCAAACTGACGCCTCTGGTTCTGGTATGGGAGCTGTCCTTTCTCAAAATGGACACCCCATTGCATACTTCAGTAAGCAATTTTGCCCTAAGTTACAAAATTCCTCTACATACATTAGAGAACTATGTGCCATTACATTTGTTGTTAAAAAATGGCGACAATATCTACTAGGAAGACGTTTCATCATTTAAACAGATCATAAATCCATCAAGGAATTGCTCTCCCAATCAATTCTCACTCCAGATCAGCAGAATTACCTTCCGAAGTTGTTGGGCTACAACTTTGAGATATAACTAATTCCGCAGCGGATGCCTTATCTAGGCTTCCATCCACACAACAGGACTTCCAATTGTTGATATTATCCATCCCACAATTGGATTTCCTTTCTGATCTCAAGCAGTCTCTTTCCAACAGTGTAGAGTTTCTTGATTTCAAGTAGAAAATAGCCGCTGCTCCTGCTCATTATCCTTTGTACTCTATTGTAGACGGACTGATTCTGTTCAAGAGGCGCATCTGGATTCCAACTTCTTGCCTCTTCATACCTACTTTGTTGCATGAATATCATTCTACACCTATTGTAGGACATCCTAGAGTGACGCGAACTTTCAGGAAATTGCCTACCAATTTCTTTTGGATAAAATGTGGGAGGACATTCATTCATTCGTGACTAAATGTGTGACTTGTCAACAAACTAAGATCCCAGCTCAAAAACCAGCAGGGCTACTTCAACCAATACCTCCTCCTTCAAAATGTTGGGAGGATTTATCCTTGGATTTCATCACTAGACTTCCGCCATATCAAGGTCACACTACAATATTAGTTGTCATTGATTGCTTCTCTAAGGGAGCACACTTTGACACTCTTCCCCGTTCCTTCTCTACCTCAAAGGTGACTGACTTATTTGTGCACATGATTTGCAGGTTGCACAGTCTTCCTAAAAGTTTGATCTCCGACTGCAATCCAATTTTCCTTAGCCAATTCTGGCGTGAGCTCTTCCGCCTTAGCGACACCAAATTGAGGATGTCCACTGCTTATCATCCCCAATCCGACGGTCAAACAAAGGTGGTCAACAAGGTTTTGCAACAATACCTTCGCTGTTTCGTTCATCACAAGTCTTCGCTGTGGGGCAAATTTCTTCCTTGGGCCGAATGGTGCTTTAACACTAGCATCAATGCATATACCAAGATGACTACGTTTGAAATTATGTATGGATCTCCCCCACCCTCGATTCCACAGACACTCCATTCAGACACTTCAAATGTTGCGGTTCAATTTGAGTTACAATCACGGACCGACATTATTCATAAACTCAATCGTAATCTACAGAAAGCTCAGTCTGATATCAAGAAATGGGCTAACATCAATCGTAGAGATCTCCATCTCCAAGAGGGGGATTGGGCGTATGTGTGCCTTCACCCTTATCGACAAGTTTTAGTTGCTGGCCCATATCCGGGGAAGTTACAAAAATGCTTCTTTGGCACCTACAAAGTTCTTGAACGGATCGGACAAGTAACTTACAGACTAGAGCTTCCTTTAACTTCCAAAATCCACAATGTGTTCCATATCAGTTTCCTTCGTCCTCACAAGGGTCCTCCTCCAATGTCAGTTTCAGCACTACCACTGGAGTTCCAAGATAGCCACCCTCTTTTGGAACCAATCGCTATTCTAGCCACCAAACCAATTTCTGATACCGTCCTAGTGCAATGGAAGGGACTGCCACCAGAGGAGGCCACTTGGGAACCTTGGAACACTTTCAACAACAATTTCACCTTGAGGACAAGGTGCTTCCTCATCCGGAGGGAGATGAAAAGAATATTGGGCCTATGTCATTCGTTGGTACTAATGAGGAGCCCATTGACAAAGTGCAAGATGAATACAGCCCAAGTACTACCACAAATTCTACTGCTGACCTTTCAAAGAGAATCTCTCATCAGCCAACTTACCTCAATGACTATATTACTAATAACAACTTTAGTAGAAAAAGAAAAACCGTTATACCCACGTAAGAGAGAATGTTAGTTATAATAAACTGTATCTATATAGAGCACCTCATGGAACATTACAAGAGAAACAAATAAAATATCGAGTATTCTCTTTCTGTTATTCTACCTTTGCATTCAAGATGTGTTAATTTCTTTTTTATTAAAACATCTTCTATTTTATTCATTCCTAAATTACTGTAACATTTTTTATTGAAATAATAAAAAAAAATCTATTCAATTTTATTTCTGTTAATACAAAATATTCACCCACTAATCTTATTTACCCAAGGGAAGTAAACCATACATTTTTTTTAATAATTTATTTAACTTTCTGATCGTAAATGAGTATCTCAAGTTTTACATTTAATAATTTTGCCATTTATTTATTTTGAAATTCGCTTCGTATTAACTTTCAAATTTCTAAATATCTAGTTTATCATTTTTTTTCTCATTTTGTTATATGAAACCAGTTTAAGACGAAAATAGTGATGATTTTTAATGATACCGAACATCCAGTTGGACTTTCATTCAACAAATTTTAAAAATTTATTTTATTTTTCTTAACTTTTCCCATTCACTTTGTGCAAATACATAATACTCATTCTGAGTTGAGGATCGAACGAGAAAGATTAGTTTTTCGCTTTTCCAAGGGATCAGAGACAACCCGTAACCAACATCCTGATGCCCCTTTCAGAAACATTATAAAATACTCTTCTCATCAAACACATTAGGACAGCATCCCCTAGATAATTTTACAATGTCCTGCATCGCAATCTTCAGAAGGGGGAAACGCTGAAAAGGGTAAATCTTAATATATAAGAAACAAATACAAGGAAAACTGCATTTTTCATACAGTAAGAATATTGAGAGGGAGCCGCTGAAATGGTAGTCCACCGTCAGTTTGAACAAGCCATGGATGAAATATTCAATAACATGGTAAATTTGTAATGCGACAATAAAAAGATAACAACCAGTGCAAATTCAAATTCACAAGTATCCTTTGAAACTTATGGCAGCTAATCATTGTTGGAACGCAAGAAGTTCAAAGTTAATATCCTAACCTCTCGACAAAAAAAGGTCAAAGTTAAAGATACTTAGAACATAAGCTCTACTGCAGTTCACAGCTTTAAAGTAAGACAGTCTTCCTTCTAAAATCAGCTCAAAATTTTGGAGGAGGTGGAGATACAAATAGATGTTAACTCATTTCTCGAGCTCAAGCAAAACATGCATAAAACTATTCGGAGATTATTAAACAGACTTACTTCCTTTCAAATGGTAAAAACAAGAAAATTCAATCACTAGCAGAAAAGCTGGAAATTTAAACAATAACAATGTGGACGCTGATAAGCACAGCTCAATCTAACTTTATACGTAGACAAAATCGAACCTAGAACTTTCCTATTCACAGAGAACAATCTCCTCATTGTCCCCTCTGTATTTTTAGTAGATGTCAAGACATACATACTATTTCATATCAACCAAGTTGCGCCTAGGTTAAAAAACTAATGCAAGACACTGGAGAACCAAGAAATGAAGAAAAAATGAACCTACGAAGAATGAAAGAAACATTGACAAATTGGCAACTGCAGCTTACCATTCTTTTAGTGAGAAACTAATGCAGAAAGAATTTAGGTTATGACTTGATAAATAAGTAATATAGTACAGGCCATGGAAGGCTTAAATGGCTTCACAACTTACAAAGAGTAGATGTTTCGAGATCATTCTGCCCCAGTTCATTTATGGGAATGTGGTATGCAATTATTTTTTGGAAGAGTTGACATCTAACAGCGTGATTGGATAACCATGCTGAACGTATGATAGCCTTTTATATCTTTATTCTGAATCTACTCTTGGAAGGGAAGCAACTGTTATCCATACATTCACTAAACTATGCAAATCAAACGCACAATCTATACACCTAGGTGGAATTTCAAGAAACATCATCATCAAAAAGAACTCTATAAAACCGTTTTCTTTCTTCAGGGTCAAACAACCCTCCCACCTTACTATCTCCACCACTACCATCACTGTCCTCATCAACTTCGTGATTTCTCCTTCTACCATTTGCTCCATCTACACAAATCAATGGAATCCCTGTCTTCCTCCTCTTTTCCAGATTGAAAAGGCGACGCCTCTGATTGTACTCATGAAGCCCCTCCTGCATCAACTCCCCAAACATCTCCTTCACAACCACCAAAGGATCCTTATCCACAAGCTGAGACCCAACGTACGCCTCTCTGAGAAGCACAGTGTAAATCTGATACTTATTGGAAACATAGAAAATGCCAGGGTGCTTGAGCAACAGCACATTCAACCTATCAGGCAAAACGAACTCCCTCCTAAAATGCCCCAACTTCACAATTGAAGCCTTCTTCCAAAGAGTCAAAGACAACAACTCGTGCACCAAACCAACATTCCTCTTCTCCATTTCCTTGGACCCCTCCACCAAACCTCTAGGATCCGAATACGGGGAAATGTAAGGAATTTCGTCAAATTCGCGAAATCTCTCCCAGGATTTCACCCAACTGGACGGCAAGGAACATGAAAAGCGTGGCGGTGTTCCGAGCTTCACAGCGGAGGCTTCGACGGCGGAGACGGCGAGGTCAGGGTCCCAATGCAGCAACTCAACGGCCATGGAGCTCCTCCTGCCGCTCTCGTTGACGATTCGGAACAAATTAGGGTAGTTTGGGAGAATCCGGATTACGTAATCATCGGGGAAGCCGAAACTGCGTTTGAATTCGTTAATTTTGAGGACGGTGAGTCTGTTGTGGAGGGTTAGCATGAGGAGTTTGGCCAAGCATCGAGCAAAGAAGGGTTGGAGGGAGTCGATGAGGGAGTGTTCCTGTGCGACGAGGTTCATCATGCGTTTGGTGAGACGGCAGCGATTATCGTGGATTTGGAAGCAGCATGGGTACTTGGAGAGCCAGTTGAGGGCTTTGCCTTGGAGATCCAGGGTTTTGAACTTCTTCTGGAGGGTTTCGATGGGGATTTCGTTGTTGGGGTAGCGGAGGATGATGTTCTTTATCTGGTTGTTCACTACCCATCGTCGATTGCGTGAGAGTGCTGATTCTAACTCTGCTTCCTTCTTCATCGACCACAGAGAGAATCTTCGGAGGAAAAGCCATTGTGCTACCCTGGCCTGCAGATGATTATCGATTCGTATTCTCAGCATTGAATTCACGATGAACAAATGGAACCAAACTCTACCCACTTTTACTTACACAAAATAAAACATAATTTATCACATTACAGAAGAAAAGAATAGAAATTGATTCCAAACGGAAGGATCAAATCATCGTCTCAATCATGCGTAAATATGAATCGGAGAATGTTGCTGTGTGATGTTAATCCGTGAATATGACTTTGTTATTCCATTTTACAATATTCGGGAATGTACGTGGAAGCTAGTCTCCATCGTATGGTTATTTCACGTTGGAAAATGATAATTTAACCATTCAAGTTCATAAAATTCCTATAAACAACCTAAATACATTTAATTCTTATAATCAACTCTATTTTAATATTATAATAATAATTTTAATTTTTTTAATTTTTATTAAATCATTCAATAAATTATTATATTAATAAAAATAAAGTGTTTAAGAATTATATAATTTCTAATTGTAAAAATGTTACCACTCATTTCATGTTTCCCACATAAAAAAAATATATCAATTGACAAAATATTCCCGTAAAAACGGCCATCCCCGAGTATGAATGCTAGGGGCATCTTATGATGATGCACAGAAACATGCAATACCAACGATACCGCAATAAAATTATGTATCTAGGTAAAATTTAATCAATATATGATTCACTTTTTATTGTCTTCATATTAAAATAAATAATATCATTGTCATTAATCATATAAAAGGCAAATAATTTTCAATTTCAGTTTATTATATCTGTCTCATATCTAATAACTTCAGCAATCGCATACATAAAACATTCAAATATATATATATATATATATATATATATATATATATAATTTGATAAATTTGAGTTTGATACATTTAAATTTTTATGTTTTTAGTTATATAGAATTTAAATTAACAAATGAAAGAAAAATAAATGAATTTAAGTTAATAATACTTTTATATTAATAATAGAAAAACTCCAAATAGATTTCAAATTTGCGTCAAAAGTTGAAGTAACTTTGGTAATAAGACTACTAATTAATCAGATCGCTTCTCAGGAAACAGATATTAGGATTTCAGACACTTCAAATCCTCAATCAGGAGGTGCAGAGAATTGTTACTAGCACACATGAAGTAAAGATGGCGTTCATCTTAAGAGAGAGATGTACCACAACAGAGGAGGCAATGGTATTATTATGACTGATCATTTTTCTCATATTCCAGAAGCCAAGCATGATGCTTTACTATTACAACAATTTCAGAAACAAGAACAGGTTTTCACGTTTATTACTGACACCCCCACCCAAGAACTGTATATAACTCTTCCTAATTGGTGGCAATACATTTGGGATGTTACACGTAGGCTTGACAATGAATATCCCAATCCCTCTTTTTTGCAACTTTCAAATGGCATGGCATGTAAAATAGAAGAGAACGTTCAACATACATCAATCCATATTACATAACGGCTATGCACATATTGGATAAAATTTGGAGATCTGAACCCCCAATTCATGTGCCTCCAGATAACACATCAAAATAAAACATAAACTTTATCTACTCTTCACTGAACTGATCGTGCTTTTCCTGTAAAACACCTGTAAGCACCACAAATGACTCCAAATAATATCTCTCAAACTATACTAGGAGGATCCCCAAACCAGCTGCAGGTAGCACGGGCCCAGCGTGTTCTTACGCAGTCCACCAAAGGTGCATGCTGAGAAGGCTCCGGTTTTGATACCTCATTGTCCTTCCCAGCAGAGTCACTTGCACTAGGAGCAGACGAAACTTTAACATCTGCCATAAATTCCTCAGGCGTCCACCTTGGGGGAACTGAAACTCTCAATTTTGTGAGCCGGGGTCTTTGCAGTGGAATTTCACCCGCAGAATTTATTTGACTACCATTCAGATCTGATTTAGCAATCCCATTAAAATGGTATAGATCAAAGACCTTCTTACCCATCAATCCTGATGAATCCTTCAAACCTCCTAAACTTTTGTCTAGATCTAAAATAACTTGCCAGAATTCACTCCACACAATGAACCCTGCAGAGCAAAGATGTTCCAGCTTCTCTGGTGGAAATTTGATATCTGTTTCTCTAAGGACTTGATGGAACCCTTCCACACTAATGAAACCACCACCTCCACTCTGATCCTGTGCATCAAAAGCTTTGCGAATCTGAGTTTCCCTTCCTTCCAGTTCATTCTCGCTTTGGACGCTGGGGTCTAGAGCAAACAGCACAGTGTAATGGGATTCACTCCCCACAACCCATATAGGCCATTTTGGGGATTTCAGATGCTGACCAACCTTGCAAAAATTCAGGGATTCTAATAGAGTGAGAAATCCAACTTCTACATCTCGGGATATACCTTTCAGAAACATGCCTCCACCTAAATCCATCCTTCCATCAAACACATTAGGGACAGCCTCCCCACATAGCAATAGGTTCACAATTTCCTGCACCAAAGGATTTATAGAAAAAGACAACCTTATATATTCTAGTTGCAGAATATTATTTTATATAAGCATTACTTAAGGATGACGGCCCTTCTCAATTATATGTAGTTTATATATATATACCTGGGAGGCATGCCCAAAAGGTGCAGTAACCAGTGGTAGGCTGGGATCATCCCTGTCGCTTTGAACCAAGTCCTAGAGGAGAGCAAAATATTGCATGCGTTGACTAAGAATATTTCATGTCATAACAACAAACTGATGCAAATTCAGTTACCCATTGGAATTTATCACACCTAACTTACCATTTTATTCCTCACATTTAAGGATGGTAGAAAATGACAGACTCAATTTTTTCTAAAAACCATATAAAACAGAACTAAAAAAAATTTAAAGGCATGTAGTAACTAGATCAGCTCAAAATTTAAAGGAAATTAAGATGAAACTTGAATGTTCAAATCCTGGTTCTAGCTTGATGGTGATCCTTGAGTATGCAAGCTAATGTAAGCCTACGAAACGAAAATCGTTATCCAAATTATTTTATTCCAGATTCCATAATATTTTGGTACCCACTGTACTAATCAGAGGCAGAGATTGAACACCACACTTTTTAGATGTTGTGTCACGCATTTTTGGTATCCCTAGCAAATTATATATCCTAACAAACTTTAGATGAATTTGTTTGAATATTATGATTACTATCGTTTGAGAAGTCTTGCTATGTTAAGAATGTTATCGGGCTAAGCATTATATTGGTTGTATCACATTTGTAATTGATCTAGAATGTAATATATTATTAAAAACAGGATAGTAATGTGAGTGCTTTATTATCACACAGTAACAAGGTCATTTAAATAAATAAAGTAAATTCTGTCTTTTTACTTTTCCACCCAATAACTATAATTTTAACATGGTACAATGTAATACCAATCACCATGTCTGTACTATAAGTCCATGGCGACAACGAAGTCTCCAGAATATAGAATTCTTGTGTATTTCTTTTCTGCTTCTTATTTCAAAATTTCAATCTCCATATTAGTTCTAATGAATAAATAGAAGTACTATTAAGTTATCATCTCAAAATCGCAATCATTCATTTTCCTATACAAGTGAGAAGTTTACTGTCACTTCTCCTTTCCATTCAATTATGATTTCAGACAGAATCCTTACAAGCTTGTTGACTCTCTGACTTTTCAGAAACAATATCTCGACCACGTATAGACATTCAAAAAACCATTTGCCAGAAAACCCTAAATCTTAATTCTCCCTCAAGATTGGTGAACCATGAATAATTGTCACAAGTATTAACTAAATACAAAAAATACCCCATATCTGGTCAAGACAAACAGCATTGCCAGTAAAATTTCAAAATTTAGAGAATTCGACAAACAACTTAGAGAACCACAGTTTTGAAAATCGGACCGGATGGTCGGTTCAACTGGTCTAACTTGGAACCGGTCTAGAGCTCGGTCTGTTGCTTTCAAATAACCAAATTTTCATTAAATCGGGACAAACCAGTAAACTTGGAAAAACCTGGTGGGTTTTCGGGTCAAACATACTTTTGGTAAAAAGAAAAAATTAAGATCAATTTTTTTTTAATATAATTGTTTTTAATAAAAAATATAATAGTTTTTTTTTTATCTCATATTAGTTAAAAAGAAAGATCTTAGGTAAAATCATTAAGTACCCACCACAACATGATCACTTTGGGTGAAGATAGGCTATAGAAACTCCTAACCACTATTTTGAAAACCGAACCAGATCAGTCGGTTCAACTAGTTTAACTAGCAACTGGCCTAGAAACTAGTATGTTGCTTCCAAATAACCGGAAATCGGGCTAAAATTGGAAAAACCGAGAAAATCAGTTGGATTTTTTAGTTGAACTAGTTTTGGTAAAAAAAATTTAATATGATTTTTTATAAAAGATATAATATATTTTATATTTTTCATCTCATTAGTTATGTCAACTTTAAATAATAGTTATTCTAACGTATTTTTCTTTTATTTCAACAATTATCTATTTTATACTTTCCAGTATATTTTATATTTATAACTTTCATTGAAACTTACGATGACCATGATAATAACCTTTGTTATTTTTTTTTCTTTTGAAAAAAAGAAACATTTTTACTAATGAACTTATTTTATACTTGTTATATTATAAAATATTATTTTATTAAATCTGATTGGATCCGGTTGAACCTTTAAACCCTAAACTTATGTCTTCACCGGTTCAGTGACTAATCCGATTTTAAAAACTTTGGTCCTAATAACTAGAGGAGCAAGAAATGAGTTCAAGGGCAGGGATGGGAAATGGCACCAAGAGACCCTGAAACCTTTTTTAAGACAATTGAGGCCACAACAAAACATCAATTAACTACGTTGCAATTGGCCTCTGGCTAATTTCAAAGTATGTTAAAGACCATCCATATCTCAAAAACATTGCATTTTATGATCTAAAAGACCTAGGAGAACCAAACCGTAATAATGAATTATATCACATTTGGGCTGTCCATCCTTAAAACAGACATACACTACTACTTTCCATTACATGAATGTTTCTATAGGAAGAAGCAATTAGAAGTACAAACACAGCAGCCTAATAATACAGTTAGCAAGTCAGCTAGTGGAATTATTCTATATATGCAAAAAGAGATTGCATATTCAGTCACAAGTAGGTTTATTCTTAGTAGGAAGAATGCCTCAGCAAAAGAAAATAGACAGGGAAAAATAGTCCAATATCTCCAGCTTTAAAAGACAGTGAATTCAGAGACTGTAAAATGCAGTGTGAAGTAGCAGAGCTTGAAGCAGGCAAACATACCAGTCCTCGAGAAAGCAAAGCAGAGATTAGGAAAAGCAATGCCCCCATTCGACTCTGGAAGAAGGGAAGATTTGCTTCCAGTCGTTGCAATGCAATCGTTTGTGATGAGCACATTTCAACTCTAAGAACTTTCTGCAGATCCATGGCAGATTCAATGGAAAGACCTTGTAGTGATTTTGCAATAACCTGTTAATTGGACAAGACTTGATTCATCTGATGAGGTTATCACAGGAGAGTTACAGTGGAAGACAACAATAAAAAGATATGGAATTCAATTCAAAATATTGCCAACAAGATGCCACACAAATAACCAATATCAGTACAATAACCAAGGTACCTCATCCTGTGAAATCCCTTCAAAACGCTGAATGTCATTCTCTGGAATGCTTAAAGTTGCAATAACAGCCCTTTTATTACTTCCACATGAAAATAAAATTTCACCCATACTTCTTACAAGGGCTCTGCCATAAAATCACACAACAGTAATACATCATGAGCATCGCATAACCATGAAAGAACACACTGACCAATATGATTCGACAAGACTAGATTGCTGGTAAAGATATCACAGTAGAATCACAATAAAAAACAATAACAAGAAAGGAAAGTCAATTCAATCTTATTATTTGCCAACAAGATGCTACATAACTAACAAATATCAGTACAATAACCAAGGTACCTCATCCTCTGAAATCCCTTCAAAATGCTGAACATAGGAGAATCTGAAATAAGGAAATTTAAATATATGGACATATACTAATAAGCAAATGAAGTCCACAACCAGAAAACCTGAAATCTTCACCATTCAATAAAAAAAAATGAGAAATAAAGATTAAACTATTATGAACCCACAGAAAACCCAAGAACTTGCACTTATACTAAATCCTACATTCAAATAAATAAATAAATAAAATAAGTGAATAATGCAAACATAATTTAAGAGCTTGGAACAAGTATGCCTCCAATGCTTGGTCACCATGGTGGGGGAAAGAAAAGTTCTTTAGGCACACACCAAATGTCAGATATAAGAGCTTAAAACTAACAATTGGTGTAATCCTACAGTTATAGGAAAAGTTCTTGTGGCATAATATTCCTTTCTCACCCTAGCCACGACCCTTCATACATATAAGAGCTTAAAACTAACAATTGGTGTAATCCTACAGTTATAGGAAAAGTTCTTGTGGCATCATATTACTTTCTCACCCTAGCCACGACCATTCATACATATATCCTAGATTGCTTGAATATAAGCAATACAAACTCCTTTCTTCTATAGAGCATTCCATGATACCTCTCCCGACACCTTATCATGCACCTTTTCTAAATTAATGAAGAATCACATATAAGCCCTTTCTACTTTTCTGATAATGCTCCACCAAAAATCATAGCAAGTACGTTGTTTTTTGGGTGACCCTACTCGGCATTAAACAATTACTTTCAATTGGGTAGTCAAACCTCCCCAAGATATGACATCTTAGTCCATGCAAAGTTTTATATATGATTTCCTTAAAAATAGAAATCAGTTTAAGAGCATGCCACTTTACTTTTGTGGGTCATAGGATGCCCTTCCCCTTTCCTAAAACAAGTTTCTGCCAGTGTAAAGTCATAAACTAATGAAAAATCTAGGATATTATGGTAGATTTACCCTCTGCATTTGCTTCACCTAGACCATAATTTTCATGTGAACACTCTGGATGTGCTATCCACGTGACCATTTACATCCCCTCAAAAGAAATTTTTTCTCCTAATACTATTCTCTTCTAAGAGTTCCACAGTTTTATGTTGTACACTCTTCTAATCCTACCTAGAACTAATACTCGTAATAAAATATTCCCCTTTCCACCACAAACATTACTGCTATGGACCTATCTGCTAGTCATTTTACATTTATAACATTCTTGCAATACTTACTTACAATTATACCCATCTTCTTTCTTGATTTAAGCTAGCCAATAAGCCACAGCTTAAAACCCAAAATGTTCAATTCCTTTACCTTTTCTCTTACCCATTTAGTTTGTTTAATTTCCTTTCTCTCTTTTACATGTACATAAAATTGATCCACCTAATCACGACGTTTACTATTTCCATTGATTGACTTATAGCAATAGTATGCCTACAGTCCATGTTCCTAAACATACATTTCTCCTGCAAACCAACCACTTTGCCCACAACAATTCATGAAAATGTGGATACCCTTTCATTTTTGTTCATATCCAGGCAGTCAGTCGACAACTTTGAAAACACTTCCCTAAACTAACTGTTGGGGGTGGGTGGGACCAAACACTTAAAATAATCCGTCAAACATCCTACACTACTTGATAGTTAGACACCTCACGATATCCAAGTCACTATCAGAGACTTCATATTAAGTCCTGACTCAACTTAATTCTGTTGGTTGAATAAATAACATGAAGTAGAATAAGTTAACAATGAACTCAATTCAAATTGAATCAAGTCAATATTCATGTTGACAATTCATCAGGAAACAGAGCACTGTAGACCAAAGAAATTGACAGAAAAAAGACATGAAGTACTAAATACAAAAATGAATATGATTTTATTATATTTATTATGTTACCTAGCTAAGCACAAATGATTGATCAGGAGAAAGTTAATCACCTTACTTTTACACCTTCAGTGAGTGAAGAAAAATTATAAGATGGAACCGGTAGACTTTTAAATGATGCACCCGGACCCTTCTGTGGCATCCATGATACATCTTTCAACTCATCACTGAAGAAAATGATATGTTTAAGCACAAATGCCTGAAAGTTGAAGAAAAACATGAGCAAAACAAGCATAGGACAAAAAATTTGCTTTTGGAACTTATGTAGTGTCAGTATTCAGTAGAATAAATAAATGAAATAAAAATAACATGATATTTAATCAAATACTCGCACATGAACAAACTTAATACAAAAGTAAATTTAATCATTGGATCAACAAATTGAACATTGCTATAGCTGAAAAAATTAAAAACAATGAATGAGCAAACGACAAACAATGGCACCCATGCGTTGCGTACCCACACAGATTTACCCACAAGACTGGAGATGAATTTCCATTGGGTGGGGGTGGAGATCATAATACCTGCCCATGGATACCTATTTACTTCTTAAACTTATTACTATATCATTTTTTGATGAGATAAAATTTATTTTTTCTTACTTGTAATGAAATTTTTAATGAATAAACATATTATATATATATATATATATATATATATATATATATATATATATAAAATATTCACGGAATAATTATTATGTATAACAAAATAAAGTTACATAAAATGACTTTTTTCAAGATTTTAATCCATAAATACTCAGTGCCAGTATGAATACCCACAAATATAAATGTAAAAATATATAGTAATGAGGGAAGACCTGCACTCATCTTCCCCATTGCCATCCTTATATGAGCATAACAAGACATCATTAAATTTATTTTACTTGAAACATATACATGGAAAATCATATAAAGAAAACACAAAATACAATACCATACATACAGCCATTTGCTGACATTTTATGCCTGTAAAAAACTTGTTCAGTGCATATAGTTAATACATGTCACACATTAAGTATCTAGTACTTTAAGCATGTGTTTGTATCCAGTGAAATACTGTTTAAAAAGACGAAAAGTTAAAACACTTTCTTCCCAAATATGAGAGGAAAAGCACGGAGAAAGTCTTCAGTATTCTTTATTTTATCTTATTTTATATTAAAATTCATGCACTGAGTAACATTTCATCATTATAAGAAATGTATCTTTAATTTAACATTTCATGCACTGAGTAGCAATTATCACAATCAGATCAGTACCACTTACATAGTTTGAAAGAGGGAACTTTTTAAATAGATTATGAACAGGATAAAAAAATGTAGCAATTACTTGTATAGCTGCCAAAACGCCACAAGGACCACCTTCATGCTGCACTAGGCCCATTGATGTTACAGGATCAGAGCTAAACCTATAGTGAAGTTTTCAAAGTATTAGCAACAAAAGCAAGTACACAATCTTATTCAAATTTAAAAGTATTGAAAACAAACTTGAGAGAAAAGAAACATTGTATTGATTATAATGAGTTTTTAGAAGTGATGAGCTTCTGTTTACAGCAGTTTATATATAGACTACAGAAGCTCATCTAACTGACTGGATCAGTTGTAATGACCTGACAGTGACAGCTGTAACAAACTACTCAATACAAAAGATAATAATGGTGGTAACTAACTCACAAAAGGTATTATACACGCACAAAAGTATACAAAAAAATAATTCAAAAGTCAAAATATCAACATCTTAAAAAATATAAAATGCAGATGAAGAGTTGAAAACACATGTTCATGATTTCCTTTATAATGATGATTTTTCAGTGAAATTAATCCATCCATAACGTATGCTACACAAATAGAAAATGAGCAGCACACCATTAGTTTCACTGCAGAAAGGTTCAACTGGACATGATGCACAGCAGAAAGTTTCAAAATAAGAAATGTTGATCATTGATTAAAGGAGAATATACAAACATCTTGTGCCAATATTACTTATTATACTATACATAACTTCACAGAACCTCAAAAATGAAAACAGTCTCCAAGTAACAAACAGATAATATTAAGGAATGACAATACCAGCTGGCTTTGCTATCTAGTTAAGAAGAAATGTAGCATTAAGTGAACAAAATCATTTTGTATAACAAATAACTTTGCCACTCTACGTCATGCAAAAATGATTAGCAATGTTGCATTCTTCTTTGGGTTTTTGATAATTTTTTTCCAGTTGTTAACAAACTTTTCTCATTCTTCACCAAGCAGGGAAAACCAGTCAATTATTTGATAAACTGCTTCCATCAAGCAATCAATGACAAGTGTGGTACATAAGAAAATTGTCTAACACCAGTATTACATAAGAACTTCACCCCTAGTAGTCCCTCATTTAGTTAGTCAGGATTTCACATAGGAAGTTCCATACTGCAAAAGAAGAAAACCTTATTAACATTAATTCATGTTAACTAACACAATTTTATTTTTACTTCATTCCTATACCTCTTTTAAATCTTATTCCACTATTTTTTGACTGATCATTCCCCAAGGCTCTAGCGATTGAGTTGGATTTACAAAACCCTCCACATGACTTCAGCATTGGGAAAATGCATTATTTTGAAGATAAAAATCGTGCTAATTTTCCCCCTTTAATTGTAATATATATCGTGCTAATAGTGAGAGCATAGCAGAAGTCATGGGACTTTTCAAAACTGTATGAGTAACTGAGCTCACTTCACAATGAGATCCATGATACTAATAAATACACATCCTGATTCAGAACAAACAAAACCTGAATGATGCTAGCCTACAACGAATGCACATTATACCCAAGCCAAAATAACTCCAGACTCCAATCACATACAAACAAGGAACACAGAAAGCTGGATAATATAACAACAATATTGGGGGAAGCAGGAATGTGCATGACAACATTAAATAAGAAAAATAAAGCACAAACAGAGATATCATTTACAACATCATTTAGAAAATTAAAGCATACAACAGGGGTTTCAATACATGTATGTTAAACATTCGTGTCTGTTAATCCTACACTTGGCAACATATCCATACACTTCAGATAAATTAAAAGGTAATTTGAAATTATAGAATACCGTATTCCCTGGTTGCTCCACTGTGCAAGGATCCCCTTAGAGACTTCATTTCCAAACACCATAGCAAACAATTGGTTTGCTTCTTCCGCTGAAAGCTCCTTACTCAAATTCACACTCTTCAAACGCAACTCCTCTCTCCTCCCAAACTCACCACTCTTCTTCCCCGGTGGCAACGATGAGGGCAAAACCCTCACCGCCGCCGCTATCCGCTTCTCCGCCGCCGCCGCCATGAGCTCCCGTCGCCGGGTCTTTGATTCCGGCGAATCTTCCGGTGAGCCCGAAACCGCCCCGGCGATGGCATCCTGTGGCTTGCTGCGCTTGGTCTCCGGCGTGGCGCGCTGCATGCTCATCCGAATCGCCATTTGCAAATCCTCGTCCTCTCCTCGATCCCCCATTCCCGAACGGATCAAAAGCTTCAATACCAAAGCCACGCAAAGACAGAGAAACCCTAGAAGAATTATTTTTAGGGCTCCGTTTCTCGGCGATCGAGAATCGAAGCTTCTGGAATCGAGTGTTTTGCGAAATCGAACTTCGATTGGGGAGAACTGGAATTGGGAACGCAAGGGAGGGGCAGAAGTGGAAGTGAAATTGTGAGAGGGTGGCGTGGCGACGACAATAGCAGGTTTTGGCGGGGGTGAGGCCCCGACGGTAGCGTGGTGTAGGTGAAAACGGTGTCGTGTGGGGATGAATCTTTGTAGTAGTATTATATGTGTAATGACTGCGAGGTCCCTCGGTTAAAGGTTCGGCGTAGTGGTAGAGTGAGTAATTTGAGTGAAAGTTGAGGGTAGTGTGGGGGAATGAAACATTGAAAATTTGATTGTGCAGATGTTAAGAGAGGCCACCGGCGATACTTTCCTTTAACGAAGAGGAAACAAAAAGCGCTTCTGCTTTACTTATTGATAAAAGGAATGAATGTTACCAACAAAATTCTTAATTATTTTCACTTTTTTTTATCTGTAGTTTATCTTTCTCTTATTACATTTTTTTATTTTGGTTTTAATGCATTTTAAAACACCAATTTTCCATTTTGTAATATTTTAAATTATTAAATATTTCAAGTGTAAATTAATTATGATGACTACGTACCAATAATATAAAATATTGTTACATGGTCATACAAATTACCGTTAATGGTGTTGAATGATAGTATAATTTTTACATCGTGGATGTTTAAATTTTATATTATCTATGATGTCAATACTTATTTTTCGTTTCACATTTTTTAGTATACATATAAGAAAAGATCATAAATTATTTAGAAGTAATTTATATCATATTAGCTATTAAAGTGTTATCATACACAATATTTTTTTTAGTCTTTTACAGTGTATTAATTCTTACAATTATTTATAATTAAATAACCTTGTGAAATTGTCTTGTATTACCATTTTGTACTGTAAATATTTTTGAATCAAGACAACCTTAATAAAACTATATATTTAAATTTTAAAAGTAACCCTTTATATTTGTTATTGATAATCAGACATTAATTTTTCTTACAAATTATTCCACATTTTGATATACAATTAATAAATATTTATTGCATCATGTAACAATTTAAAATTTAAGTGAAGATTAAAAATACAAATTAAAAGTGACATTTTAAAAGGATAAAAATCAAACAGTAAAATATGCATTTAATGCGTGCCTAAGGTTTTTATTTAATTAAATCTCTTTTAATAAAAAAAAACAGAAACAAAAAATCATTAATTATTAATAAAAAGGAAATCAAAATTTAAATGATTATTTACTGAATTAATTGAGAATATTAATTGATTATTAAATTTTAAAATTTTAAGAAAGTAATGCTTTTTTTATTAGATATCGAAAAGATAATTTTAAAAAAATTATTTAAAAATAAAATTAAATATTTTATTATGAGTGTTCAAATTGTTTATATAAATAAATTTTTAAATTTTTAAAAATCTTTTTCATTTTTTAATAATTTTAATATAAAATCTATAATAAAATATAACACATAAAGAAGAGTTGAACAAGCTCACATATCCCCAGCTGTGGGAAAGGCTTCTGTGACCATTCTTATCGTAGTTATTTATTTATTTTCACTCCTTTTCTTGTTTGACTCTGCCCTCATTATCAAATAAAATTATTATTGAGGTCTATATTAAATTAATTTTCGAATTGATTTTTTATACATCAACTTTTGTACTTTGCAAATATCAAATGAGATTTTTATTTGTTCGATTTTTATTAATTTATTTTTCTTTTTATCTATTCATAAAAAATGTAAGAGATGTTTATTTATTTTAATTTATCTTTTTTATTTTAATTTATTCACAATGATGAAGAAGTGAGGATTGTTTTTTACTCATTCAAATTTTTTTACTCTATCTCGTTGATTTTCATCTATAAAATAGAATCTGACTACTATATAAAATAAGATATTTTTAAGTTAACAAATTAAAAAATATCATTCTTTTATTATAAATTATTTTTCATTCATATATAAAAAATATTATTTTATAAAATTAACCTTATTTTTATAATTTATATATATATACTTTTAATTATTATTTTAATAAAGTGCATGATTATAAAAATTAAATAAATAATTTATTTATAGCATAATATTATTTTATTAATTTAATTGAAAATAAATTTTAAAAATTATAATAAAAATAATTTATAATTATATATAAAAAAACATATTATTAAAGAAATGAGATATTAATTTAATGGTAATATTTAAAAATATTTTATTAATAAAAAAATTAATTAATAATTATATAAATATTTCTATAATTAAATAAATATATAATTTTAATTTAATTATTTATTATTTTTTTAAATAAATATTTTCATTTACTTTTAAATATTTTAATAATAATATTTTTCATTTTATTTCATCTCTTTTTCCTTTTTTTTTCTTTCTTCTTATTTCCATACACTTTATTCTTTTTATCATCCACTAAAATTCTAAACAAATGTAACAAAGACTTTGTAAAACAAAATAGAATTAACTTCAAGATTTAATGTAACATATTAATTATAACCTTATATATAATTAAATTTAAAATGAGGTAGATTTTATAATCTTTTTGAAAATAAATAATAACATCTTAAATTTATAAGTATATATGTTTATATTTTTATTTTAATTTATTAAAATTTAATGTGTATGTTATTTTTAAAATATAAATATTTATTTTTAAATTATGAATGATTAAAGGATATTAAAGGATAATTATAAAAAAAAAATTTATATGATTAACGTTTTTGAGTCATCTCATAGTTGATCGATCTATAAATTCTTTTTCCTTTTATTATATTTTGTTCAAAAGTTGAAGGAAGATCAGACATCAAGTTGTTCCCAAGATTGACTTATCCTCTCCCCAGGATGATCGTAAACTATCCTTTATGTAATAATAATACTGACCCTCGTCCTACCTCTTCTGCTTTCTTGACAGTCAAAACATTATCGTTTTAAACAGTTTTTTCTTTATTAAAAATATTATAAGTATCAGATGTTGATTTAAAAAATAAAATTAACCAATTTATTAAAATTATGCAGTTTTAATCATGTGGTTGATATTGGCTAGACAGTGTAATTTTAAAAGGCCACTATCACAAGTATAAACAGGGTGATACAACCACACGAGTTTTTATCACGATCGTAGTCTATCCGTCATAGTATGTAACGCGGTGGTAATTTTGTAATAAAATCATAAACTTTTTATGTCGGGTAATAGGTAACCGACATGGTAAGAGGAAAGTTCACTTTCTATGTCGGGTAAAATTTAACCGACATAGAAAGTTCACTTTTTATGTCGGGTAAATTTTAACCGACATAGAAAGTTACTTTCTATGTCGGTTAAATTTTACCCGACATAGAAAGTGTATTTGATGACGGGTGTTAGGGCAACCGACATAGTATCTTCTGTTTTACGCCTACCGCGACGGTCCATTTCATCACTTCACCCATAGCAGAGCTCCCCGTTCTCTCTGTCTCTTCTACGAACGTCATCGCCTGTGTACGTTTCTCCCCACCCAGTTCTGTTCATCACGCCACCTGTCAACTCTGTACGTCATGCCGCCTGCTGCTATTGTCGTTGGTGCCCGTCGCTTGTGTACGTTTCTCCCCACCCAGCTCTGCACGTCACGCCACCTGCCACCTCTGTAGGTCTTCAAGAGGTAAGTTTATGTGCTTGCTTTAGCCATTGTAGGTTTACAGTTTTGAATCTGGTATGTAATAATGTTGTCAAGAGATGGAAAGATCACGGGTGCCTTTAGCTAATTTAGAGACGTATTGTAAGTAGTTTAGTCATTTGAATGTGTTTCTGTAGGCATTCTTTCATGATTTTGATTTTGAAAATTAGATTTGTATTATAATGTAGTTATTTCATTTTAAGTGAAAACTATCATCGCTTATGCTCACCCTAATGTGAGACAATACGATTAGCCTTGATTGGAGTCAGTCATGAAATGATCCATTGTAGGACAAAACTTCCTATTGAAAGATTAAAATATCCAATCACGTGACGTCGCAATTTCAGCAAAACATGTTGGATGTTATCATCCTCAAACTATACTTATATGTTGTGTTATGTGACAGAAGGTAACAATGGATCGGAGTTGGATCAATTATAGACGAACAACAAATGAATATGAGAGTGGAGTAGAACAATTCCTTGAATTTGCTAAGATGAATGTTCTGGATAATGATGGAAGATTCTATTGCCCGTGTGTTAACTGCTTGAATGAGCGAAGATTACCGACTGAAGTTATTCGGGAACATATTCTTTGTGATGGTTTCCTAAAGAGTTACATAAAGTGGACATGGCATGGTGAATTATTAAACATGCCAAGTGTAGAAGACAAAGAAGAAGTTGATCTAGAGATGGATGATCAGTTGGAGGAAATGATTCGTGAGCTTGGACAAGATGTCTTCCAACATATACATGTGTACGAGAAGTTGTCCAATGATGCAAAAAAGCCTTTGTATACAAATTGCACTAAGTTCACACGATTGTCGACGGTACTAAAATTGTCCAATGTGAAGACAAAGAATGGGTGGACTGATAAAAGTTTCACATAATTGCTTGAGTTGTTGAGTGACATGCTCCCTGAAGGTAACACATTGCCAACCCACAATTATGATGCTAAGAAGATATTGTGTCCAATGGGTATGGAGTACCAAAAAATTCATGCATGTCCGAATGATTGTGTGTTGTACAGGAAAGAATTTGAGAACTTTCACGAATGTCCACAATGCGAGGAATCACGATACAAGAAGAAGGATGGTGATTCTGACAATGATGTAATGAAGGATACCCCGACAAAAGTGTTATGGTATATTCTCATTGTTCCAAGGTTGAAACGATTATTCACTAATGGAAATGATGCAAAACTCACTAGATGACATGCAGATAGTCGTATTAAAGATGGTCAGTTGAGACATCCGGCAGATGGATTGCAATGGAAAAAAATTGATTCCATCTTCCAGAATTTTGGTAATGATCCAAGAAACATTAGGTTTGGACTTGCTACAGATGGAATGAATCCATATGGAAATTTAAGTAGTAAACATAGTTCATGGCCTGTGGTGTTAGTTATTTACAACTTACCTCCGTGGTTGTGTATGAAACGTAAGTACTTGATGCTATCTTTGATGATCTCGGGTCCTAGACAACCTGGAAATGACATTGATGTTTTTTTAAGCCCATTGGTTGAAGAGTTGAAGATGTTGTGGGAGGAAGGTGTTGATGTGTTTGATGGGTACACAGGTGACTTATTCAAGTTGCGTGCAATGTTATTTTGTACAATTAATGACTTTCCAGCATATGGTAATTTGAGTGACTACAGCACAAAGGGACATAAAGCTTGCCCGATATGTGAAGAAGACACATGTCACTATCAACTACAACATGGAAGGAAAACAGTGTACCTTGGACACTGAAGATTTCTTCCTTCAAACCATTCGTATCGTAAATTAAAAAAATCATTTAACGGGTGTCAAGAAAATGATGCAGCCCCAACACCTTTAAGTGGGGAAGAAGTATATCAACGAGCAAGTGCAATTTCGTTTGAGTTTGGAAAGACGCAAAAGAAAGTCACAGGTATATGAAAGAAAATGTCAATCCTTTTTGTTCTTCCATATTGGAGGGTTCTTGATGTGAGACATTGTATAGATGTCATGCATGTAGAGAAAAATGTGTGTGACAGTATCATCGGAACACTCCTTAACATTCAAGGAAAAACAAAAGATGGTGTCAATGCTCGTTTGGACATGGTTGAAATGGGTATAAGAGAACAATTAGCTCCTCAACCTCATGGTAACCGAACATACTTGCCTCCAGCATGTCACACACTGTCTAAAAAAGAGAAAAGAAGTTTTTGTGAGTTTTTACGAGGTGTGAATGTTCCATTTGGTTACTCTTCCAATGTGAAGAGACTTGTATCCATGAAAGATCTAAAATGGGGGCAAAGAAGTCTACTTAGCACCTTACTTGCATCAGTAAGTATACATCTTATAAATTAATGCACATTTATGTAAAACTAAAATTTTACTAATATTATTTCAACGTGCAGGGGTCATTGGCAACTCATAATCATTGTTCTTCGGCAATTTGTTGTGATTCTCTTGTGTTCATTACACAAGAAACCAAATGATTTGGATATTAGAAAGCACATAGACGCGTAAGTTTGGTTTTTTTAATTGTTGTATCATATGTGCACTTACACCAAAATTATTTGTCCTTTTGTAGAGTTTTGGAAGCTCACCTAAGGTTGCAAGGCCTTCCATCTCATGCTAGAAAGAAGTTGACGTATATTGCACTAAAGGTGACCAAACATTCCTCTTACTGTTGTTTAATTTGTCATTTCAAGTTAATCTGACATGTATTTAACTTGTAGTGTCCACGCCAACCGAGAAGCCATGAGTGCGGGTATTATGTGATGAAGCACATGCACACCATCGTAACCAAAAATATTATTGACTCATGGAGGGAGGTAAATATACTATAATTAAGTCAAATATGTCAATTATGTAAATGGTTTCTAAATCTGAAATGTTTCAATATGTAGGAATTTACAGACTCATCTCCATTGAAGATTGAAGTGTTAGACGATATTAGAGAGCAGTGGGCTTCTTTCCTTTTAAGTATTCAATCTTCATAACAAATTTGACTTGTAACAATTTTGATTGAATTGATTTAAGTTAGCAAATTTACATTCGTTTAAGTAAATGAATTGTCTGGAACTGAGGTACATATATTGATTTCAATATGTTTCATATATTTACATATCTGTCTGAAACTATATATGAACTGTGCATATCTGTCTGTACAAGTGTTTGGAACTGTGAATATTTGTCTGTAACTATGATGAATAGGCAGGTCTACTCGAAGAAAGGTAAGATCTGTGAAGAAAATGCAAGTTCTGTAAAAAAAAATAACAATTTCTACGTCGGTTATGTCATTAACCGACGTAGAAAGTTTAACATTTTATGTCGGTTATAAGCATAACCAACATTGATATCATATACAATCACGGTTACTGTTAACCGATATAGATACTGGGGTTATAGAAAGTTAGAAAGTAAGACTTTCTACGTCGGTTCCCTGACTAACCGACATAGAAATGCTTACTTTCTATGACTCCTGTATTTATGTCACCGCTTTAACCGACGTAGAAGACCCATTTTAACTGACATAAAAAAGCATTTTTTTGCAATAGTGAACTAAACCACACAATTTTTTTTACGACGAAGTTAATAGTAATAGTGATAAGATGACATACATTATTGACAAAATGTTTATTGACATGTGTATATATTAAAATAATAATAATTAATATTAAATTATGTAAATGTATTAATTACATTAAATTATGTGTAATTTAGATTACATATAAAGTTATGTAAATTACTATTATAAAAATTATAAATTTATATAATTCATAATTTAGTTTACTTTGATAAATGTATATATTACAAAAATATTTAATTAATAATTTTACATACTTCAATAAATAAATTGCACAATGGTATTATGGGAAAACCAACAGAGGTTTTACCTTAAAGCACACAAGTTGAGTGGGTATAAGGCTGTCTCCTAATTTTAACGAAAACAAACTAAATATACATAATTTAAAAAAAAAAAAAAACTTTTTTAGAGCCCTTTTAACTTGTCATGTATTGAAACATGTTTCATATATAATTTCAAATGTTTGGTTACTGTGTCATGTAACATCATTTTATTACCGCTCTTCTAATACAGATAGTTGAATTAATTCAAAATATTATAGTTAAAATACTAGAAAAATCAAAATAAAAATACTTTCCCTGCACATTGTGAAAAGTTATTTTTGTTAGAGCATGTGATAAACGTGATGTAATAAATAAAATGATATCTTTCATGTGTTTTATGCAAATCGATAAAAGTCGTGAAAGAATTTAAAAGACTGTACAAATAGAGAAATACATTGATAAGGACTAAAAAATTACTTGTGTATAGAATAAAATATACTTTTATGCAATGTCATATTAGTGTTGCATTTAATTTATGTAACTAAAATATGTTGAGGGAAATACATATATGATATTAGCACCGGTTTGGAAAGATGGAGATTAAAATAAAATTTAAAGTATTTAAAATAAGTTTTTTATCCTTAATTTTATCTAATAATTAATAGATATGTAATCTATGGAATTAGATTGTTTATCAGTAAAGAAAATATGCTTTTTTTTTAATAAGGAAGTATGTTAAAATATTTAATAAAATACTAAAAAAAATTAATAGATATTTCAGCTATTAATGTATAAAAATAGTGTCATATTATTTCTCTCATACTATTTTATTTTTTACAAATGATAAGTATTCTCAACCATTGATTATTTTGGTTAAGTAATAGATTATCATAAACCCGAAGCAAAACTCTATTTATACATATTTAAAATTGATCAAACCCTAAGATTTTCTTATTGATTGGTGGGGATAAACTAGGCGCTTACATGCTGTACGCAAAATAGGTTAAAAGGCTGAAAATATTTTGAATGTGGATAAAACGGAGCATTTTGTAAGGTTTAGGTGGTTGGAAACTACAGAGAAGATGTATCTTTCAAAAAGAAAAAATAAAAAAAAGGAAGGAGAAGGAGCAACCACATATAATAATATATAATACAAGATAAAACGTTGTACAGTACCTGAAATATGCATGGTGGTGTCGTGTCGTGCATGAAGATGAAGAGGAGTTGAAGGGTGAGAGGAGGCAAGCCACAGAAAGGAACCCACAAATTAAGAAGATGACAAAAATCGTTATCCGCCAGGATCACCACGAGCTCACTTCTCTCCCTTCGCCATCCACGTGTCATCCAAGACTTCCTTTCCCCTCAGATAATATCATCTCTTTCTCTTTCCCTATATTCAAATCAAATATACTAATATCACTTCACTGATATTTATATATATATATATATATATATATATATATATATATATATATATATATATATGAAACAAGCCGTCAATAGTATATGCATATGACTGAAATGTAAGTATATCCTACTGAAGTCATCTCTATCTGTGTTCGTGAGGAGTGAAGAGGGCCAGAAAAGATGGATCACAGTGCGGATGCTCAACGCACGGACTTGATGACCATCACCCGTTTCGTTCTGAACGAACAGTCCAAGCACCCTGAGTCTCGTGGCGATTTCACAATCTTGCTCAGTCACATTGTTCTCGGCTGCAAGTTCGTTTGTTCTGCTGTTAACAAGGTATTCACTTCTTATATATATATATATATATATATATATATGCATTGCATCAGCAAAATTCATTGATCTACTTCAGACAAGTACCTACCTACATGAGCACCATTGCTATCCTGAACCAACTATTTCAATAATTTTCAGGTGAAAACGCATAAACAAACAAATAAATAGTAATGCTATATTTGCATATCAATTAACAGCGCTTTAAATATGAAGTATAACACATACTAGGCCGGTCATTCCTCAAGTGGTGTTAAATATGAATTTTAAATTTCGAATTCAAATTATTTCAAGTATTTTTTAATAAAATTTAATAGGTTTACATGAAAAAAAAAATTGTTGAAAACTTGAAACTTGACCATCATTTTAGAACAGTCTAAGGTGGCCTTGTACGTTAATTTGCCATATTAACCACCTTCTGTCTTCTTTTGAAATTAAATGGTAATACACGTACTACTCTTTTTTATCAAACACCTAGTAATTGCCTTTGTTTATTATTATTTTTAGTATTGGAAGAATAGAAAACGCAAAAATTGAACTCTAGATCAGGTCGCTCTAATACAATGTTATGAAATAACTATTCCAATTTTTGTAATAATTACTAGACAGATACATGCCCAAAATTTATTTTTACTTAATTTCATGAATCTGCTTATCTATTTCTTAGTATACAAATTTTAATTATAAGAATTGATTACAGGCTGGTCTTGCTAAGCTTATTGGACTTGCTGGCGAGACGAATGTCCAGGCAAGTGGTTGATAAATAAATCTCAGTAATCTTATTATTCCTGCATGGTAACTTTCTAATAGGTGATGATTTGATCCTCTTCGATTATATTTTATTTATTTCGGTGTTAACTTTTATTCAATTTGTTTCTTAATTATCTGGAATAAAGGGTGAGGAGCAAAAGAAACTGGATGTGCTTTCCAATGATGTCTTTATCAAGGCTTTGGTCAGCAGTGGACGAACAGTAAGTCATCAATGTGGGATGGTGTCTTGAAATAAGCTTTATATATAATATATATGTGCTTTTTTTGATGGTTTGAGATATTTTCCCAGTGCATCTTGGTGTCAGAAGAAGATGAGGAAGCAACATTTGTGGAGCCTTCTAAGCGTGGAAAGTTGTTAACCTATCTATAATCTAGTATTGTTTCTTCCTAAGTGTTTATTTAGCCTTGGTTTTGCCGAGTCTTATCATTGGTACGAAATTTTTTCATTACGCAGGTACATTGTTGTTTTTGATCCGCTGGATGGTTCCTCGAACATTGATTGTGGTGTTTCCATCGGCACAGTATGGCCTCTCCTCTGAAATGCAATCCATGTTTTTCTCTTTCCATTGAATTCTTTTGCTATATATATATAACTCATGAATCGGGCTCATTAATAACATTCCAGATTAACTAGAATATTGCGGTTATCAATTGAGTATGTTGCGTTCCATTTAGATTTTTGGCATTTATTTGGTGAAAGAAGACCGTGAACCAACCATAGAAGATGTTTTGCAACCTGGGAAGAACATGTTGGCAGCGGGTTATTGTATGTATGGAAGCTCTTGCACGGTATAGTAAATTAAATCCCAGTTTAAATTTCTGTGTTTTTTCTCTCAGGCAAATTCAATTTCTTCCTCTTTTGGTCATCTTATTACTCTGTTTATGATAATTTTTTAAGGGGGTGTATAAGTTTCTGATCAATTTTTACTAATGATTGATAGTATATTTTGTGGGTATGAATTTTTCCATTGATTTGACTTCTCTTATTTAAAAGGATAAGCTCAGTTTCTTGTGTTTTATGTTTTCTTGTGCCCCTGTGACTTAGTTGTCGTATGTTTTAATTTACCTAATTTTAATTCATTCCAAAAATTTAAATTTTTTAATCACAAATTTGGGGTATTTTACAGCTTGTGTTAAGCACTGGAACTGGTGTTAATGGTTTCACTCTTGATCCATCTCTTGGAGAGTTTATTCTAACTCACCCTGACATCAAGGTATTAATCTGCCAATTCATCAATAACTATTTTACATCACTATTTTCTTTGTAAATGCTCTTGCCTGCGACTGAACTCTTCAGAAAGTCACGAAGTGCTTTTTATCTCACCCCCAAGTATTTCCTTTATCTTTGAATTTTACCCCTAGAGCTGACTTGTACACTGCTTCAACTTAGGTCCAAGTCTCATCAATTAAGAAGGAGATGGATGAGTACTAGGCCATATTAACTTGCTAAATTTCTTATCATCTTGGTTAAGATGGCAATTCATCCGCAACCCTGTCTCTTAAGCAAGTATTTAATCAGTATAGTTATAATAAGAAACTACTTATATAATAGACAGGATTTGATCTCCTCGAAAAATCTCTCTATTTAGGAAGTCATAAATATCTATTGCTGAAAGACAATTTGCCTGTTTAAACCTTTTCTGGAGTTAAGAATCTAACACCATATTCATATGCTTTACAAAATATATTTATTGTAGATTTTTTATTGTCAAAGCAACATTGATTGAGCATTTGGAGCTGCGACTGAGTAGCTGTTCTCTCAATAATTTGTCTATCTTTTAATGAATTGCTTGCTTGATCTATGTATGGTTCACCATTCAGGTACCGAAGAAAGGGAAGATCTATTCAGTGAATGAAGGAAATGCTAAAAACTGGGATGGTCCTACTACTAAGTATGTATAAATCCAATATTGTTAAAATGTTTCAGGCAATTTGTGAGTTGTAACACTTTTTCCTTTCCCACTTCTGTTCAGGTATGTGGAGAATTGCAAGTTTCCAAAAGATGGTTCATCACCAAAGTCCCTAAGATATGTTGGAAGGTATAGAGTATACTGAACTCAATCATCCAAGGAGATTCATTTGCCAGAGTATAGCATTTTGATTTATAGTGTGATTGGATACCTTCAAAATCACGGTGGCTACCTCAAAACCATTCTGAAAGCATAATTTTTCCAAAGTAACATTGTGTTAATTCACATTCACCATGAAATAACAAATACAGACTACAGCCTATTGATAACTAACCCTTTACAAGTGATCCATACCCTTCTAACTTCTAATGGATAGCTCTATAATGAAGTGTGTCATTTTTCATTTTGGTCAAAACAGATATATATATATATATATATATAATCATTCATCGCCTTGAACAAAAAACATATTTATTTTTATGACATTACTTTGTCTGTGATTTGAATAATTAACAGCATGGTAGCTGATGTTCACCGGACATTTCTTTACGGAGGTATCTTTCTGTACCCGGCTGATAAAAAGAGTCCAAATGGGAAACTTCGGTATGCCATGTTCAATCTCTACCTTATTTTTCTGAGTAGCAATTTCAATTTTACTACTGTTTGGATTAACTGAAGAAATGATTGTACAAGTTTTCTTTGATTTGGGGCAGTGTACTCTATGAAGTCTTCCCAATGTCATTCTTGATGGAACAAGCAGGAGGACAGGCTTTCACTGGCAAGCAAAGGGTAATCTACTAAAAATAGTTGTTAAACTCCCCCATTCAATATGTTTGGACCAAGGTTTTGAATTGTCGGTTGTTGCAGTTTCGTCGTGGTTCTGTCACAACTGCAGTCACAAACCCTTTTTTTAAAACTTTGGTTTCTCAAGGCTAAAATTGTCACTGGTCTTCTCTTTGTTTGACTGGGAATTCTTTTTATCAAAGAGAGAAAAAAACTGAACTATACAATAATTTTCTAAGTTATATATAGATTTAAAAGAATAAATTCATAAAATGATAATACAATTCAAATATTATATTTAAAAAGACTTTTTCATAGTTAACTATGAGGGTAAATGAAATTTTGTGTATGGTATATAATAAGTTTTGTTATTTTTCTCTCCTATTGGTTGAAGGAGTTAGCATTCAGTGTCACTGCATTTGAACATACACATGGAGAACCCCTTGCATAAGTAATATTGATGAAGTTGTGCACAGAAAATTGTGTCTTGTTTTCTCTCTTCTAACAACATTAAGAGAATGTGAGTTAGATTAAGAATGGTTTGGAAGTGAAATTGATAAACATGAATTAAAATGAACAGGCACTTGATTTGGTTCCAACGAAGTTGCACGAGCGATCTCCCATATTCCTTGGTAGCTACGAGGATGTGGAGGAAATTAAGGCCCTTTACGCTGTTGACAATGGTTTGGAATGAATGAAGCTGGAAATCATAATTCTTTGTCTTTCCTTACTAGCAATTCTCATCTAATTGTTGCACAGATACATACATGGTCATGTATATGTTAAGAAAGTTCTTTTTTTTTTTCTGCATGTTAAGAAAGTTTGTTAATGTTTTTTCTTGTATTTTTTTTTTTTTACCTTTTAATGACTCATCATTTAATGGATCTACCTTTCTTTAAATAGAGAGATAATGTGGATATTAGGCCTATTAAGCTCTGCACATAAACAAAGTACATTTAACCATTGTTTCACTGAATAAATAAATACACCATGATTCTCAAAGTTCAAATATAATCACTTATAAATTAATTAAGCTTACATATATAAAATATATATCATGAAATACATTAAATTCATATTTTAAGAAAATGAAATACGCTGAGAAATGCATCTAGAGGATTGAATTTAACTTTTGATTTTTTTTTAATTGAACGTGATATTTCCTTTGAATCAAATATACAATATTTAATAACTTTTTTATTTAAATAAAATTTTAATGTAATATTTGTTACTTTTTATTTTAAAAACACTTGTTTTAACTAATAATCAAATATGTAAATATGTAGAAACAAAAAATTGAAATACGACAACTAATTTTTGTCCACTCTTGTAAGATAGTTACATGTAATTGTATACTGATCCTAAATAGGCAAATTCACTAACATTCAAAGTTTTATATTATTCTAACAATAAAATTAGAAAAAATAGCACATACAAAGATTTTGGATTTTACAATTAAGATTTTTTTCAAATTTCTGTGAAATCCTATCAAAAAATTAATTTGATCATTTTAGTCAAAAATCTCATCCAAGATAAGAACTTGCACGCATAAATCTGTATAGTAAAATTGAATAAATATTTGGGCAAATTTTAGAAGAAATAAAATATATTCAAAAGTAATATTTAAGATGACACTTTAACCAATAATTTTTTATTTTGTTTTAACCAATGATGTTTGATATATTTTAAATTTTTTCCATTTAATTCAATAAAATAAATTCATAATGTATATATAGATATATAGATAATGGAATAATATATTTAAATAGACTTTTATCCATATAAATATAGCTAATAAAATTAATAAACTTGTTTATATCATTGTTAATATCTTATTTAGTAAAAGATAAAAAAATTAATTTAAAATAAAATAATATTTTCATACTTTCTATAAAGAAAATAAAATAATATTATCATACTTTCTATAAAGAAAACAAAAAGAAAAAAAATTACAAACATTTTAAGAATATAATAAATATAAATATAAAAAGCTTGAAAATAGCGTTTTAAAAAATGATATCGCTGTAAACTACTTAAAAAAATATTGTTTAAACAATAATAATAAACTAATACAAACTTTTCTTTCAAATAATAATAAGAATAAAAACAAATTAAATTTATTTGTGACTAGAAAGGAGATATGTAAAATGTGCGAATGAGTTTATTGTTTGAGATTTGGAGTGAGTTACGTTTAAAATATTTTGATTTGAATATTAGTAATTGGTAAATTATATCACATTCTCACTTTCATATTTATTATAAATTTAGATAAATTAAGTTTATTATTATTATTATAATAATATATTTATTTTATATGTTTTTACAATTTTATTATCTAAACAAACATTTAATTGTCTGATTTAGGGTTTGAACATTAAAAAAAAGTTTAAAAATAATTTATACAAATAATATAAGTTATAATATATAATATAGGAGTAAGATTTTCAAATTTTTATTTTACTCAACATGTTTAATATTTCTCTTCTACTTTCTTTTTATCGTGCTCTTCACCTACTATTTATATAATTAATGATTTTTTTTAATTATCTTATACTAGGGTGAAATTATGAATTAGATTATTATCCACGAACTAATAAACTCCATTTATTAAATATTCGGTCTAACTTGTTTCATAATTAAAAATAAAATAAAATTTAAGATTGAATTATATCTTTTAGATTGATAAAGTTTAAGTTCTAGAAAATTAACATTAAAAGTGTGTGAGTAGTTAATTTATATTAGCGATGATATTGTTATTAGTTTTTTTGTTTATAAAGAAATTAATTCTCATCCCTTTTGATTTTTATCCTAAATATAATAATTTTGTTACGCAATTTCAATATTTTTTTTGAGAAAAAAAAACTTATACTCATTTTTTAAATCAAAATAAAATTATATATCTAATAAATTCATTTTATAATAAATTCATTAATTATATATAATAATAATAACTTGTTATAGTTTTAAGGTAAACATAGTAAATAGAAAAAAAAAACAATAGTAATTTCCACTTCAGAATTATTTTTAATATAACATTTCTAACAGCATAAAAGTCATTGGGTGACTCGCCCGTTCCAATAGGTGGGAATTAGAATGACGCATTCCCAACTGTTACTAGAAAAATTCGTCACTTTTGTCGTGGTCGAGAAACGAGGAGTGGAAGATTTATTCGTTGGAAGTCTGGTTCCCACACTTTGGTCCAATAACAGTATACTATTGTTACATCAATAAAATATTACCCCTTCAAATTATATGGGAGAGTGGATATATCAAATCGAAAGCAAAAGAAGAGATACATAAACTTGACATTGTTTTATGTGTAGACTATACTAGTTAGAAACTAGATTAGGTTTAAATCTCTCTTAAGACTGCCAAGTTGCAATAAAATGTGGTCCGACATCATTTTGTGCCGACTATGATATGTTTGGCGTTATCTTCAATTATTTGTAAAAAAATTATAAAATAATAATATAAAATGTCTATTCTTTTGAATGCGATACCAACTTGTCTTGGAGGACCCACTAGATCTCCCAATACATTGAACCTGTTAAGGTTCTTTCTTTCCACCCTTTGGCCTCACATGTATAACAACTACTAAAATATTTGTACACATAACATCATCACTTATAATATACCTTTTTTTATTTATTTAAGTTTTGTATGTAGAATTTTGATTTATCAACTTATCCATTATTAAACATTATGAAAATGAGAAAAAAAATAGTAGTTTTAATTAAAATTAATTCTGCAAATACTTAAAATCTAGTTTAAAAATTTTTATTTTTTATTTAGAGAAAAATAAGGGTCTTGCTGGGATTATTTTTGCTATATCAGTTTTAAGCATATTGCCAATATTGAATAACATGAATTATATGGTAATTAGTGTCTTGATTAATTAATTGATTATTTTCATAATGTTTCACTAAATAACAAAAGGTGATTCACTGATTAGATGACACGCCTTTGCTCATGCTGTGTATGTTTCTCACTTGGTTTTTCTCATATTCTTCCTTTTTGGTGGGGTTCTTTTCAGTTTTCACAGCCTTCAACTCTTTCTCTACTTGTTAGGAGATGTGTCTCTCGTGATCTTCGGCTCTGGATTCTGGGGTTAGTAGCAAAAAGTTCCTTTTTTGGCTTCTGGGAGTGCAGTTCTTTGCAGGTTTCCAGCAGATAAGTACCTAGCTTCCTCGTTGATGAGCCTTGGAAGTTTTTGATGCTGTTTTTCTGCACTTTTTGAACCTTTTTCCTTTGTTTTGCATCTGGGTGTTGTTTTGGACTTGTCTCCCTCTGTTTGCATGTTAGTGTTTTTTATTTATGTGGATTTGAGTTATTGGTCTCTGTGAAATGATGTTTTGGAGAGAAATTTATTCCTGTTAAATTGGCGGCTATTTTTACTCGAAGATCTTGAGGATCATAGATGAAAATGAAAAGCTGTTGGATGATTGAGCATAAATGGGTTTGCATGATTTTAATGTGAAAAAGGTTGAAAGAAATTGGGTTCGAACTAGGATTTGAGGTCTAATGGGTTCATTGGTCTGATTTGGGTTGAGGTTTGTGAGAAGCAATAATGGAAGGGAATTTGCCACAGGGAGGTATTATTCAAGGTGGAACATCTTTTGGTGGCTTTGATTTGCCAGGATCAATTCGTGTTCAGCATCAAGCACAACATCCCCATACCATGCACCAACATCAAACTCATCCGCGTCAAGGGTCTTCTGTACATTCCACAGTTCATGATGGTTTCCCTCTTACAATGGGAACCCTGCAGAATTGTGAACAAACCATTTCAATGGCAGAGTTTAGTAAAGGAGACAGAAGCAAAAACTCAGCGAGTGAGGAGGACGAGCCAAGCTTTAATGAGGATGGTGTTGATTGTCACCATGAAGCGAGTAGAGGGAAGAAAGGATCACCTTGGCAGCGGGTGAAGTGGACTGATAAGATGGTAAGACTTCTGATAACAGCTGTTTCTTATATTGGTGAGGATGTAACTGTTGATGGTGGTGGCAGTGGAAGAAGAAAATTTGCAGTATTACAGAAGAAGGGTAAATGGAAATCTGTTTCTAAGGTCATGGCTGAGAGGGGTTATCATGTTTCACCTCAGCAATGCGAGGATAAATTCAATGATCTCAATAAAAGATATAAAAAGCTTAATGATATGCTGGGGAGAGGCACTTCTTGTCAGGTTGTTGAAAATCCTGCACTGTTGGATGTAATAGATTTTCTTACTGAGAAAGAAAAGGACGATGTTCGGAAAATATTAAGCTCAAAGCACTTGTTCTATGAGGAGATGTGTTCTTACCATAATGGTAATAGGTTGCATTTACCTCATGATCCTGCATTGCAACGTTCACTGCAGTTAGCGCTGCGAAATAGGGATGATCATGACAATGATGATATAAGAAGGTCCCATCATGACGATCACGATGAAGATGAACCAGATGTGGAAATTGATGATCATGATGATTTCGATGATAATTGTGCTTCTCATGGTGATAGTAGAGGAATATATGTACCATTAGGTGGATCTATGAAGAAATTGAAACAAGGCCAAGAAGATGGTAATACTTTTGGTAATTCTTTCAATTGTCAGGACTACAACAAAAGTTCATATCCCCATGGGCAGATGGTCCAATCTGATGCGAATCAAGGTTTACCTGAAAGCATGAGAGCAGCTTGGTTACAGAAGCAATGGGTTGAATCTCGATCGGTTCAGTTAGAGGAACAAAAGCTTCAAATTCAGGTTGAGATGCTGGAACTGGAGAAACAGAGATTCAAGTGGCAGAGGTTTAGTAAGAAAAAGGATCGGGAGTTGGAGAAGCTTAGTCTAGAAAATGAAAGAATGAAGCTTGAAAATGAACGTATTGCTTTAGAACTGAAGCGAAAGGAAATGAGCACTGGCTTTAAATAGGTCAGCACTCTTGCAAGCTTTGTAGCAATTGCATTACATATATGATGCTCCATTTTTCTTGTTTTTGTTTTCTTTGGTAAGCTCTTGTTTATTTAGTTGAAAGTATGTGTTTACTTTGCAAATCTAGCTCTTCCTCCTGCTTGTACTGTTTAAGTTTGTTAATAGTAGTGCTGTTAGGCTCTACTGAAGTTTTGTTGCCTATGTTGGAAGAGTGGGAAGCTGAAATACTTTTAATCTTTTTAATTTTTAATATTAAATTTCTGGTATTATATTGTCTGTCCTTCCATTTATGTTACACGCTGTATATTCTTCTAGTTATTTATTTGTTTTTTTCATTCCTCGAAATCATTTCTAACCCTTATGTAGTGGGAAAAAGGACATTTTTATATTGTTGAAATCATGCATTGCTGTTCATACCCACCAGAACATTTTGGGAGAAATCGTTAGTGTTAACCTTACCTTAAGAATGGGTTAATACAAATTTATCTACCTATTCAAAGGGGGTGATTGCTAGATCATTATTTGTCAATGGCTATATTTTCAAATTGTTTAGCATTAATTTGAAAGAATGAATATATTCTCAGCATAAAATAGAAGAATATATATATGTCTGAACCTTCTCTTTGAAGGTCTTCTAAATTTATCAGCAATTCAACATTCAGTTGGTTGCCACTTGTATGCAGGGTAATTTTCTTTTTCATATACTTCATTAGCTAAAAAGGAGTCTTGTCTATAGTTAGGCTATTGCTGTTGAGTTTTCTTTGAAGTTCTTTTTTCCATCTAGTCACTCTTTACTTGAATACATGCCAATCTTTTTCTCGTAAAACCCTATTACAGGATATAAATAAACTATGTTAGTCGTATCAGTTAGTTGAAATTTGTTAGTTAGATTGTTGTGAATGTTTATTAGTTGTTAACTAGCTCTCAAATAAGCTGCACATACTTTATTAGCTTCCTTTTCATATCAACAATGCCATGAGCCATTTGTGCTGTAACTTATGAAACTAGGAGTGTCCTAGGATCAAACTATTGACTACTTGACCATAAAACTTTGGCAAAAAAAGCTTACAGCTTTAGAACTGATCGGTTAGTGACCTGGAATTTCTTTTATACAACTGTTCGCTGTATTTCTATCTCTTGGTTTAGTTATAATTTTTGTTCCAATTATCTCAATTTTAATTTGTTTTAAAAGTGAGTTTTTATAATCCAGCTCTCTTTATTGAGGGAATTTTTTTATAAAACTGTCTTTATATTTGGTGCTAGGAATAAGAGTGGCATCTCTTTAGCAAGGAGAACAAAAATTATTTATGTTTGTACTTGTAGTCTATTATTTATTAGCTGATGAAGTGGGGAGGTTTTCCAATGAAGTTATGCCTTATTGCATAATTGGAGAAGATAAACATGTTTCAGAAAGTGATTGTATTGGATTGAATGTGTCTATCTCTGTAAATCCATTTGTGTGTGCAAAATGATCGTGTGAGCTAATTTGTGGTGGAGGCATATTTATTCTGTTGGTGAATGTGAGGCCAATGCATTTAATATTTCATAAAGGGTGTGTTGATGCTTTGTGTCTCTTGGGGTAAATACCGTGTGATTCTTTTATGATTTTCACGTATAAAAATGAAATTTTAATGCAGGGATGTAAATGGTTGTGGTTACCCATTTAGCCAACTCGTCATTTACCCTACTCATGATGAAGTAAGATACTTAAAAGGTCTATTTTTTGGACAAACTTCTTCTGAAAACTTTTAGAAGAAAAATATAAAATAAAATGAGCTACTCCAAATAAAATTGTAAAAAATTATATTAAAGAAGTCTTACAAATTAATTTATGTACAAGCTAATTTTAACTTACAAAGAAATTCATTTTCATTTTCTGCTTAGAAAGTCTTTATGAAAAAAAAAAGTGTTCAAAAAAGACCCCTATTATGACATATATATGCCACAGATCTAGGTACAGGAGAATTTTTTGAAATTTTGGACATGATATGTGAACAACAGTTTATGAAATGTATTGTACAGACATAGAATATTAATAAAGAAAGAAAATTTGTTAATTTCTCATTAATAAACACAATTTATGAAAATAAAAAATTGTGATAGCCACAAAAGAAATTATAATTTCTCTCTCTTTTGTTATCATCATAAAAAAACTTCAAAGTTTGGTTTAACTAGAGACATTCAAGAAGTTCAAACACCATCATCAAGTGGATCACCTATATCTCTACTAATGTCTCACAATCTTATCACTCTTTTATTATGCAATTATGTCCTTCATATTTTGTAGACAAAAGTCAACTGGAATACATATGAACGAAATATTTGGTCTTTTTGGATTTATCCTTTTTCTTCCATGAATGAATAAAATAGTATGTATTCCAATTCTTCGCATAGTATGAGGAGAACCAGGGGCACAAAATAGTAAAGCACAAAAAAAATGTTGGGAATTTTTTAGGAGGTTATCATTAGGCCAATATTCACCTAATCACCTATGTCATACCATGGTAATTCAGAGAAAATATTTTACTTTCACTCAGAATTTTAAGACAATAATATGTTTGTGTGTATTTTCTAGTATTTAACTTTCCTATTTCCACTCAACATGGAACTTTAGTTCATAATTTCAACAAGAATAATTTGATGTGTTTTCAACTTTCTGAGTCATATGATTAAATTCTCCTTGTTCATTATCTTGAGATACAAAACTCCTTTTATGGATATGTGTTGCTACTGTGGGTGAGAAAGATTGCACTTGAATGGATGTGGACAAGAGTGTGGAAATGTCTGTGCTATGTAAATTTTGGGTCCAAAGGTTGAATCTAACCCAAACCTGACCTGTGTACTTCCATATCTGAGCAAAACTAATAACTGCACATGTCAATAAAATAACTCCAAAGAAAAAATCTTTTTGGTAGGGAGTGAGTGAGAATCAAGTAAATCAAGGCAAAATTTGTTTAATTCTGCTGGTGTTAATTGAATATTTTTGTTTCTGAAGTAAAAAACTGTGAGAGATGTTCTGTTCATATTAGTTCAGATAAATATAGATATAAACATGTTATTTTTAGTGGTTTACTGTTTTATTTGAATTAGTTCCTGTGTTTGTTAAAAAAGGAGTTCTTTATAACACGTTTGATAAAATAATCTTGTTTCCGTGGGTACTTCAGCAATGGGAGGGTCCAATGAATGCAAGGGAAAGATGTTTATTTGTGTAGTAGTTGACAAAATCATCATTCTCAGTTTCTACAAACGATTTCATGATATGTCTCCCGTCTATATGACAATGCATATGATTTTTAAGTAATAAGAACTTAATTTTATACATTAAATATAGCTGATAATTTTTATGATTCCTAAGTTTGATTATATTCTTGACACAAATTCCTTAATCTCTTGTTTTTCTCTCACATTCTTTTCCACACAAATTCATGGCTCTTACTCCTACTGCTATGATTGATACTATTTGAGTAACCAACAGAAATACTCTGCATAGATTTGTTTTTGCCTTTATGTTTGATAGAAACTGGTACGAGCCTATGACCATTACTGCCCCAAAGAAGTTTTCTGTTTTGTTTATCTTAGAGTCTGCAACAAATGATGTACCGAACTTATGAGAATATTTTGTCTATAAAATTGTAATCATCATAACAATTGACTTGGGGGAGGATCAATATCTTTACTCATTACTCTTGTCTAGGATCTGATGCTCCACAAATCCAGGACCTGGATTGATAGCTTCAGTGGTTGATCTTGAAAAAAGAAAAAAGAGAAAAGCCTCAGTCAAGGTACAGTAGAAAAGGTCAACTTGTTTTCTACTTGCAGAGTATTGCATATTTTGCTAATACTAAAAAAATTTATTGGAGTTTTCCACATGGGGAATTTGGGTTCAAAGAAAAAGGAAAGGAAAAAAAGGATCTCTTGAAATTTTGAAGTGCTATTAAACTGAAAGTTGTATGGATAGTCAGCTCATCATATTATATACACTTGAATTTATATTGAAAAGTAATAGGAAAAATTTTTGGTATTCTGAAAATGGATTTTGTGAGCTTTCTTACAATTCCTTGCTGGGAATGGTTTCTCAAGGTTATATATGGATAGGATCCGATTCAGAATGCAAAATATCACAAGTCAATAAAGATTGCAGAGGTTAAAATTTAGGTTAATAAAAAGACTTTGTATTTTCTGTTCCTTTAGGGGTAGTTTGGTACGAGAAAGTGATTTTTACCAAATTCAAGAAATTCTGTCCTTCTAAAGTGTTTGATTTCAATCATGAATGTGAAATCCCACTACTTCATTCACACACTTCGTCCACAGAATGAATCTACGCTGTCTAAGTTAGTGGGGTGTGGGGGAAGGAGAGTAATTTATATACAATTTTTGCAGAAAAAATTTTACACGCAGAGAAAGACAACTCAAGAAAAGTGAAAAGTTTGAAACATGATGGATTACTGAGTTCTCCAAAGTTTAAGTGAGTGGTCCTAAATATTTATTTGAGCCAGTATAGGTTTTATGATTAAAAAGTGTTTACAAAACTATTTGTAGACTATCTATCAAGATTTACATATTATTTTTATCTCTACAAATTCCTCCAACTTTTGTATGTAGACCAAATAAAATGAATGATGGTAATAGAAATAGATAATCTTAAAAAAAAATGTTAAAGACTAAAGTACAAATGGTATAACTCAAATTAACAGAGCATGCAAGAAATCATTATTTCCGTTAATTGGAAGAGAATTTGTTGTTTCAAAATTAAGGCCCAGTTTTCAGCAAAAACAATTTGGAAGCCCAAATTGAAAATCTCAATCGTTTGGACAATGCAATTATTGGGTAATTAATTCCATCGTGTTATTTTTATTTTTTATTTTTTATGAAATGTAGTTCTCGTGTTTCTTGTTCACAAATGATTCTCTGTTGCATAATAATTGTATTATTTAATCTTTTATTTCAAAAGTAAAAAAAATCATTAATGCTTATTTTCCTCGAGAGAAAATAAAAGGATATATATATATATATATATATATATATATATATATATATATATATATATATATATATATATATATATATATATATATCTATAAGTAAAATTTGGAGATTACTTTTAGTTGAATTTTATTTTTTATTTTATTTTTAATGAATCGATTAATTTAAACGCGATTGACTAATATATAATTTTTATTTTTGTTTTTTATTAAAACGGTATTTTATGCATTCTAAAATAAATAAACTAATTACAAAGTAGTATTTATTTATCATAAACAAAAAAAATTAATTTCATATAATCAGTTCAGTTATAACTTATGTCTATAACTGGTCATTAAATCATATCTAAAAAAATAATTTAAATACACACTCAAAGTTAAAACTAATGATGGAATAGCTTTCTACATAAATATAAATATATATATATATATATATATATATATAATAAATTATAAAATAACTTGTGAATATTTTTTTTAAAAGTAATAAAATGCGTTTATTAACGAAATAAAGAGTTTAATAAACATGGATTATCATGGTAATTTTTTTAGTTATTCAACAAAATTTTTTTATTGTTGATAGATATGAAACCGCACCAGTAATTTATATAATTATTCAATAAATTTTAATCAGATAATTTAACTCAAAATCATTCATTAAATTGAAAAATCTTCTCACATAATTTTTTTAAAATTATATATCTATATTCATTTCATTCATATAAATAAAAATTGATATAATATATATTTTTTAAAATATATACGAGTATTAATGATTCAATAACTTTTTTATATGGTTTAATTTTATTTCCAAAAAAAAAACAATACATAGTTATAAGACATTGATGTAATGGTTAACTTAAAGTGTGTATAAGATAATTTACAAGTTGGTACAGTAATTAAATGGCAAAATAAAAGATATATTATTTATTAATTACTGTGAAATGAATGTTAAAGAAAATTGATGGTTGCGGGGACAAGAAGGTGTTGCATGGGCACCACTGCCGCGGGGTGGAGCGTGCCGTATTGACAAGACTTTGTCACTACTTTTCTTTTCTCCTCACTTTCGTTTTCCAAAGTATGAACCCTTCTTTCTTTTTGTTGACCAACTTGCTTAATATTTTCCTTCAAAATTATTATTTGTCTCTTCATCAATCATTGTTCTATATGCTTGTCTTTACCAATAATTTTAATTTATAAAATGCTAAAATACTTTACCCATATTTTACAAATAATAATAAAAAATCATATAATCATGGCCTCGCTCTTCCAAATTATATAAACCCACCCATCCACCATTATTCGACAAAAACATCATTTTGAGTTATTTTTGCTAAAGTCTATATTACCCGCGTACAAGTCACAAAGTTGGGTTGTTTTGACTCAAGACTCCACACGTGGTCATTTGAACTATTAACATAGGTTATATTATAACAATAAAAAGATCTAAAAATAATTATGTCAATATAGTTAGGTTTGCTTTTCAACTTAAGAGATGAAATTCGAAGAAGGGACTATTGATTGGGTGGAATGTATGGAAAAAGGGAGAGCAGAATGTCAAGATTTGTTTTTTACTCTCTCAACTAATCCCAACCAACGTTAAACCTAATCATGTTAATTGTTGTGAAACTCGTTTTTAAAAGGTTTCGAACAAAACACTTAACACTTATCTCTCTCTCTCTCTCTCTCTCTCTCTCTCTCTCTCTCTCTCTCTCTCTCTCAACCTTTAAAACTAAATTAGGGTTAACAATAAGAAAAATAAAGGAACAAATGTAAAACTACTTTATTTCAGTGAAAACCTAATTTTTTTTCAATATCTTTATGTTGTAAATCTTACACATAATTTAAAACTTGCAACTCTAAATGATATTAAACGACTATATGCAATTAACATATTTAGTTTTAAATATTTCACAAACTCTTTTTCATTTCTTTTGTTTTACGTCCATGTCCACATTCCCAGTAGAACTTTCCGACGTTAATCAATGCAAAGTCAAAGTTAGTAGCTAGTGGTCAAATATAAATTATACTAACACAAATTAATAAATTATATAAAACTCTCAGATGTCTACGTTACTCTTTACTCGTTGACCAGATTTTCCTTGAAGCAAATAATCAACCCAGAAGTCTCATGCGCATGGCCATTGTTTAGATCCAGTAGCTCCATTGTGTCAAAAATTGAAATCAAATTTCTCTTGGTGATGTTCATTTTATGCCAGAAGCCACATACTGGAATTAATGAAGCCCCATATGAAGACAATTCCACTCATTTAAAAATGCACCCACTTTTGGTTATCAAAATGTGTGCGAAACAGTGACGACAAAGAAATAAATTAGAAATACATCAGCAATGGCGGCACTAAAGTTAGACGTGGCTCAACAACAGTGACACCTTTTTGCATCTTTTTTTTTTTGCTTCATTTTTATTGTATCCACTATGACCTGAGCAAGACCATGCATGTATATTATATAATACATACATATATATATATATATATATACATATATATATATATATATATATATATATATATATAGATAGATAGATGAGAGAGAGAGAGAGACTGTGATCATGTATATCCTTGTTTGGCAGTGTGATTGATGGTTGATGTAAAATATTCGGTGCCAAAGATATATGTGTAAGTATTGGTCTGACATATATTATTGGAGTTCGTGGGGTTATTTTCCTTTGTGGTCCGTTGGGATGATAACGAAGAAAGAGTTGCGAAACACACTTAAGTAAAGTCCGTAGCCACAAGCTTATCCAATTATCCAGTTGAGACTTACATCACAGAAGTGGATGAGTGAAAAGAGAGGGGAGAAAGAAAAATATAAAAGTTAAAACAAAAAATTCAGGCCATTAAATTTGATAAACTAAAAAAATTGAAAAGCGAAGAAGTGGACGTGAAAGGATGTGTTTATTTGTTACGTAGTACTCTCCCTTTCTTCTCCCCTCTTGTAAATTGTTGCTTGTGGGGACATGGGCCCTCCCACCCTTCCTTGCTCAATATGGGCTTTTTGAGAGCCCTCTTTCGTCGGGCCCACATTGGGGCCCATTTATAGCGACCTTCTTATAAATATGCTTCTTAATTAGGGTTATCAGTGTTTAGCAACGGCAGAGAAGGGGCACTTGTTGTTATTATATATGAAGAAAGCTATGCCAACAAGTGTTTAAATAATTGATTAAGATATCAAGAACGAAAAGGCTCAATATAAAGTTATTCGAAACAGACTTCCATGGTAATTTCTAGTAATAAAACAATCTTATTTGTTAAAACACCCTTGGAGCATTCATTAGTTGATTTGATCCATGGATTATTTATCAGTTACTACTTAGTAATAATTAATAATAATAATAATAATAAGTAACATTGGGATCGCAGAGGATTTTGTTTATGACCCTACGTGCAATACGCACATGGTTCCACGTTCCGATGAATCTACGGTACAAGACGTGGAGGAATAATTTTACTGTAGCTTGTAAGTAAGGGCTGTAATAAACAAATAAAATTATTGTGAAGGACCAAATCGTTTGCACATGGTTATGATTGCTTGTAATTTACTCTTCACCACCATCTTTTTCCCCCGTGCACTTGTTTACTCTATATTCCAAACTTCAACCCAGATATTATACGCCAAATGAAGCAATCTTTAATGCATAATATATATAGAACACAGAGAGAGAAAGGATGTTAATCTGTACAACACCACCAACTTCAAATTAAAACGATCTCATTGATCTGTTATCTAAATGATAGTTTTATTTCTGCTTCGTATAACAGATCAAACGGTGCTTCTTGTATGAATCATATTATGATAAGGAAAAGAGGAAATGAAACAATAATTTCATGATAGAGAAAATGGAAGTGAAAAGGGAGATGAATAATAATAACCCTTTGATGCGTTGAGCACTACTTTACAGTTTTCTTAGTCATTGGGAAATATAGTGGTGCATGCGTGTGATTTGCAAGATTTAAAATCAAGTTGGAGAAGATTATGAGGGAAGGAAGAGGAGAGAGAGAGAAGAAGGAAGAGGGGGGCAAGAAAAAAAAAATGAATGAGATTGGTGGATTGCTTAGCTGGTGACAGATAAATCTAAGGGTTAATCCACATGGTAGACAGAAGATGTAAGTGTACATTCACATCATGCACCCCCCATGTGAAGTAAACCTTTTGTCTACATGTAAAACTTTTTCTCATATGGGTCCTGTAAATATAAAGTCATCCAGATCCATAAATTGTTACGTATTTAATGAGTGCATATGCATATTTATATGCCTTTTTATTTTATTTTATCTTGTTTATTTTTCTCCTGTCTCAGCAACTGCATAAGTGACAACCGATCCCCATCTTCCACTATTTTCAGTAATTTCCTTGTCAGCAGGGTCGGTATACAGTTCCTTTCTTTTTTAATTGTTCCTTTATGGAAAATTTCATCCTTCTCCTAACTTGTAATGCTTTTTTACCACACAATGTTAGACACAACCATGTTTCTCTTCTGCAAAAGACAAACTGCACACACAGTAACAAATCCATTAAATGTCACTATTTAGAATCCTCTCCACATTATTATTATTATTATTATTATTATTATTCTCTTTCAATGTATGCAACATTAACTGCAATATCTGTAGTTTTGAATTTGACTTAATCTATTCAAATAACTTTGCTGGGCTGCACACACCTGACCTAAACTTTCTGATTGCTTGTTGGGTAGTTTTAAACTAATTACTATATAATTATTAATGATCAACATATAAATTATGCAATGATATTAATTAATATATTAATTAAAAACTTTTTAATAATAATTACAGAACTTGAACTTCGGTCTAAATATTATTTTACAGTAGACACACAAATGGAAAAAACCTTCTGAAATTGAAAAATACTGTGCATGAATATAAACTCATTATTACATATATATGCTTAAAAAATAGTAGAATTTTTCTTATTATATACACTTGAAATTTAGTAAATTCCAATCATTCGAATTGAAATTTATAGCATATATTGACTAACAGGAAAAGAATATGATTAGCGGTTGAAAGGTGTGATGAGGTTGTTTCCTCCATCTACTTTCAATCATTATAAGCTCATTATTTATGAAAGACATGTATACCACTAGCATCTGCATCGGTTACACTTAGATTGTGGCCTTGGTTAGTGGCTTTGGAAGAAACTTTACCATTGATTGAATGTTGTTAGTCTTTTCTTTTCACCACATATCTCTTTCCATCTTCTGGTATGCACATATTGTTAACTACTGCCATGATTCGCTTTTCAATATAATGGCATATATGAATTTGCGTTAATTCACACACATGTAGTCAACATGTTCCATCACAACTTTCGTGAAAATAAATCTCTGGTAGAACCTGCCAATCTCATTGCATTATGTGATTGCATCCAATTATGTTATTCCGCACTGCAGGGTGCTGTTGTCGATCAATGCATTCCCTCCAATACACTCATGTTACGTATATATGCGTAAGGGTTAATAAAATACCAAAAATATTTTCTAGGGCATCTTCTCTCTCTAGCTAGCTACTTAATTGTGAAGCTCTACATAATGCAAATTATGAGATTATATATATAATATTTATTTTTCAAGTATAAAGTTTTAAATTTATAAATATATACGCACAAAAATGTTATCCAGCTAATAGAAGTTCTGCCAGCGAAGCAAAGGAGACATGAAACTGAACCAGTGAGCACTAATTTGATGTTTGGGAAGACAAGCAATGTGGTTAAGCAAGTTATTGGTGAAGTGTGTTGAGGGATGAAGATTAAAAAAAAGGGGGAAGAGAGAAAAAGTATTGAAAAAAGGGGTATGCCAAATGTTATGATGATGAGATGCCTACTTTTGTACATGACTTCCTATCCTTTATTCACAGTTAATATTAACCAATCACATATTCCATCTCACATGTTCCATGAACAAAAGAGAGACATATTCATGTGTGCTTGTGTCTTAATTTTCATTTTTATTTTTTCTTTATCAATACTAAAATGGTTTCTGGAATTTACTTTATTCAATTTAAAACTGCTAATTAAAAGACATTTCCATTCATGTCTGAATTATTTCACCATTATTTGGGGTTTCATTTTGTATGTCCAAGTTATATATGTAATATAATGAATTAACATAATTTTTTTCTTTTACAGTGTTTATAGGTAGTCATTGAATAAGATAAAACAGTAGGTATTACTACTATTCTGTTTAATAATTAATATCAATATATGTTAAATCATTCTTAAGACAGTAATTTTGGCTGTTTCGATCATTTTTTATTTTAATCTTGTTATCCTAATTTAGTTAGGATCCAAGACCTACAAGAGTGGTCTTGTATAATATCCTCAGAATAAAAATATAGAAAAAAAATGCATCCACAATAATTTATATGGACAAACAGAGAAATATTTCTTTTACCAAACTTTTGTGGTCCTAACTCCTTACGTTATGATTTGCAAATATCTACTATGTTGTTGCCATATGCTTTTTTTTTTTTTTTAATCTTATATTTTTCTACAAAAAATACAATTTCCTATTCTCGTAACTAGCGCTTTATCGAATAATTTCTTAAGAAATTTGCGTGTCATAAAATTGATAAAATAAAAATATTGTGCGTCCTTTTTAAAAAAATCTATTTAAAACACACAATATGTTATATTGTACAATACACATGTTAGAAGTAAAATCAACATTATAGACATCAAACTAAGTTAATTATATGAATTGGTTTAACTTAAATATAATACTGCGTTGTTTTATTTGACACAACCAAATTTCAAGCCAATCTGGTATCATCTTAATTAGATTTATATGAAGGTTTTTTCAAATCTTAAATCCAACTTGATAAACTGACTCAATAAAAAATTAGTAGTTAACTTTTTTGTAAAACATTTAATATCAATACTTCATTAAAAAAAAAAAAAAACTACAACTCCTCTCAGGCTTTAATAATTTTTTTATTTTCTTATAATACTAATACTAGTTCTGTGTAATGTATAGGAATACGATAAATTTTTTTATATGATCAACATATAATAAATAATATTGAAATTATGTGCAATAAATCAATATTTCGAGCGTGTAAATAACATTTTGATTTTATTATAAATAATTGATATGGTAATACAATTTTTTTTATCATTATCGATATTATTTCAAATATTGAAACTCAATTTAAAAATAAAGATGAAAAGATAGATTGAGAAAGATATGATTAAGAAAATTAAGTAAGCATGAAGATACAATGAGAGTGAATTGACACAGTTAAGAAATAACTATTTAAAAGTAAAATTAAAAAATATATTTTCAATAAAAAAAAATCTTAAAAATTATGCTATTAAAAATTAGTTCCTAAAATATCCTCAATATGGTCCAGATTATATACAGGAATAGTTATTAATCTTTCTTATTTCGTGGGTTTGCATAGTTATAGTCCAGAAAATAGTTATTAATCTGTTGATAATTAAAAACAAAAAAAAAAACTATGATCCACCTGGCATCACCAATTTTACTAGATACCCCACCATTAGCCATTGGCTTGGTATTGGTACTTTGACTAAAATACCCTCTGCGCATGATTAGCATCACAGGTGTTTTGTAAATTAGATTTGTACAACTAAATAGATCTGGATTAAATTGATGATTATATACATTAAATGGTATATTCATTAAGTGGGTCCCGCTTACTTCATTATATTTTTGCTTCCTTTCATTTCCTTTGTTTTGTTTTAGACTCAATTATTGACTTATTGAATTGATGGCACAAAATAAAAAAGGTAAATTTATTTTTCCAATTTTTATTTATTTTATAAAAGAACGATATATGGAATATAATTTCATCAAATTCCCGAAAGAGTAATTGAAGTTCATCTTCAAGTGAAGATATCGTGCCATTTATATTAAACTATTCTCGATTCCTTTAACCGTGGTTTTGTCTGACCAATTTTTCTTTTACCAGAAACGTTTATTGGCATTGAATGTTAAGGTAATGAATAATGCAATTCTCCCCAGAAAGAAAAAAAAAAAAAGGTATTTTGTAAACATTTATTATGGTCACTAATTATAATTCCAAAGGGAAAAAAAAATTTATCTCATGTAATATAATGGATTCCAATTGACAAAAAATACAGAGGAAGAATACAAAATGAAATACAAAAGAGGTGAAATGGAGAGATAAAAATTCCAATATTCAACAACCTTATCTCAATCAGAAGTCATTTTCAAATGCAAGTGCAGCGATCAAAGAGGTTTGGAATTTAAAATTCGAAAGAGAAACGCAACGTTCACATAGCATAGCTCAGCGGTGGTGCCATAATTGTATATGGGTAGGAGCCATTGTTTTCACTTAGAATATATAAATAGGAAATAATCCAATACACCACATCATCACCAATCTCTCCATGCTCTTTATTATTTTATTTTATTTTCCTAGCTAGAGAATTTGCACAACATTCAACTTCATATTTCCAGTAATATTTTTTATTAGATCTAATAAAATATTTTGATAAATGTTTATTTTATCAGCATTATCAAATATTATATGTAATTTTATGTTGTTTCGTATATTTTTTTTTACTTTTTACGTAATATTATTATACTTTCTGTTTAAGGGAAAAAAAGTGAATGTTATCTTGCTATGAGATTCTTGCATCACCATATCTAAATGAGAAAATTTGATTTTTCTCAATGATGAATAAGGTGAATGACAATCTTAATTGCATAAGTAAAGAAGATTGAAATCTTTCTATACATATATGTTAATTCATAAACTATTTAAGATAAATGAGATAATTAAAAAGTTACTGGTAGAGATGTATTAAAAGTTTATTTTCTTAGGAGAAAAAAATGTATTTATTCTTCATTTTTCAAATATTTAATTAATGTTTGAGTAAGAGCAAAATGCTGAAATTTTACTTCGTTGAAATGATGAAATAGTACTTTAAAACTCATGGACCACCCTTTCTTTCCCTTCCCATCAAAAGATTGTTATGTAAAAAAAAATATGATATTTTAGAAAATATTTAAAGAAATACACATTTATTTATTTATTTTGTTTTTGTTGTGTCTAAATCATTAAACCTCGTGACCTGATCGAACTTAGGAATCAGTGATAAGATATTTGATCTTTATTATCTTGTGATAATCTCACTTAAAATCTTGTTAATAACCTAAAAATCTCGATAAGAAACAAAACCAACCGTGGATAATGGGAAATAAAAAATAAAATTGAGGTTAGGACTAAGCTGAACAGATGGGGATAATCTTTTGAGCAGCCAATAATTTCAAAGAATTATAAAGAACAAGGATGATATTAACATTACTTTCACTTTTTTTTTTAATATTTTTTTTTATGTTTGTAATATATTTAATTTCATTAAATATAATATCTAATATTTTTGTTGATATCCCAAAAAAAAAGAATCTTCCTGGATAATAATCTTTTTTTTTATCTTTCAATTATTGTTAGTTCAGAATCATCCTTTCTTTAAATTAATTGAATTTCATTATTGTAGTTCCCTGGTTTTAGTCACTTCTTTATTTTAAAAATATTTGTCACTTGACATTCATCATTTAATAATTGTCAATATATATATCATGTTAAAATAATTATACCGCGCGTTCATAAATTTAAAAAGTATAATAAGATATAACTTTTTTTAAGACTTCAAACGACAATTCAATTAAATTAAAGATAAAAATAAATTCTATTGTGATATTAATATTTTTATTAAATATATATCAAGCTAAACTAAAGAGATACACGAATTATCGATAAATAAAAGTAATAGTAAATAATTATATCCATACCAAAATACTGCCATATTGATTTTCCTTTTTTGAGAGTTTGTATTAAACATGATAAAAGGCTATGTATTATATTAATAAATTTTGATTAATGTTTATTTGAAGCAGTTGTTGATAAATAGGAAGAAAGTAGGAGTTAAGTTTATAGATTTAGAAATTTAAAAAACTAAATTGATTAATATAAATAAATATTCGATGATTACCAAATTTCTACTGAGAGTAATTAGTTTTGTTTAAAAATAGAAAACCAATAATTGTAGTTAGAAAAACTTTGACGCCATTTATTACGGTAGGTCACAAACCCAACAGAACTGCCCACCATTTACTTCTGTTCATAAATAGCTTCGCCTAATAACACCACCTCCTTCAAACTACATTCAACAGTGGTTCCCACTTATTAACATCAACATTTTTATTCATTCACTACTCTTATAAATTCAATTACACTATTCATATTCACATCTTTTAATCTAAACCTCTTTCTTTTTTTCTTTTCTTTTTTCTCTCTCTATTTTTCTTTTATCTTTTATATGTGTCAACCAAAAATTGTCCAAATTGCATTTGTCACCATCACTGTAGGACCCCCAAGCCCACATGTAGAGTACCACAGTTCTAGGCAACAAGTTGAAGATTAAAATCAACACCCCCAATGTTTTTCCCCCACTTAACAAAATTTTCTCAGAAAGGGCATTTTGGGTAAAAAATCAAAAGAAAACAAAAATTAATATTGAAGCTGTGAAATGGAGGGACAAACCCAGATCACAAACAAGCTGATGTAAATAAAATATAGGATAGATTAGCTTCAATGATTAAAGGTCAATGCAGGAACCACGTTAGGGCCTGTTTGGTCTTTTCACAATGAGTATGCCTAACCGCTACTGAAATCCAAAAAACACATCTCAAAGGAAAAAGCAACAAAGCTCATCTTCATCTTCATCTTGGTCCCGAGAAAGGGAAATTAATATTAACCAAATTTTAGAGAAAGAAAGTTAAAAAGTATTTTTAAACTGAAAAAAAAATGTAAAAAATAATTTAAAATAGTAAAAAAAGGTGACCTACAGGAGCCGGCCTCTAACTAAATATAGCTGGACAGACAAAAACCAACAATTATCTCCATCGTCTCTGTGCGGAGCTGTTCAAAAATCTATGCATCTATTTATTATTTCATAAATAATAAATAAATACACTCAAATTAATAAATACTGCCACATATATATACCTGCGTCTATTTTTCCGTGCCACTTTTCTTGTTACCATATCGAAAGAACAATGTCAGGTGAATTTACCGGATGAGAACAAATAAACAATGAAAGAAAATAAAAAATAAAAAGATTCCACTGCTGAAAAAGAGAAGAAGAGGAAACACCTAAAAAGTTAAGTAAATAATAAAAAAGGCAGAGTAAAGGGAAATATTTATTTATTCTTATTACAATTAATATTCCTCGTGTTATTTTAGATATAATAAAAATTAAAATAAAAAATGAAAATAAATAAATTCACCTCCCGCAAGGAAAGGGAAAGAGAGATAGCGGTTTGGTATGTATGTATATACACATGTATACATTATTATTATTATTATTATTATTATTACATGAAATAAAAAAAAGTCATCAAATTTTTGAAAGAATTCACCACCCTTTTTGCTCTGTTTATAATTTTAATTTTTCTCCTCCTCTCAGCTGCTGTAATTGCTGCGGTGCTGTTTTGGAAAAGAGGGAGAGAGACCCAAAAGAGACTATGCTTGGGGACTCAGCTGTTTTGGGAGCAGGAGGAGGAGGTGGCGGCGGAGAAGGTGGCGTCTCCGCCGATGCAGTGGCGGCGGTAACGCATGACGGGGCGGTGGCGGCGACCGGAGGCGGTGGTGGAGTTGGATCAAATTCAGGGGACGACGAAAGGGGTAGAATCGAAGAGGGAGAACGTAGCTTCGGCGGTAACCGGTGGCCACGACAAGAGACTTTGGCGTTGTTAAGAATACGGTCAGATATGGACGTGGCGTTTCGAGATGCAAGTGTTAAGGGTCCTTTGTGGGAAGAAGTATCCAGGTGCGTCACTACTCCAACTCAATTATATTAATCTTTCGGTTTTATTATAAATATCATCATCACCTTTTTTTCCTTCTTCTCTTTTTACTTTGCATCTTGTCATTCAATTCAATTCATCACTTCACTTCACTTCACTTCAATTGATGTGAATTTTGAGTTGCTGGATTTTGTTTTCTTTTTCAAAATAGATTAATGGGGTGTGGAGATCTGGGAATTCAATTTTGCTTCGGTTTTAAGTTTTATTGTCGGAAATGTGTTCAGTGTTCCACTGGCTTCAATTTCAATTCCATCTTTCCCCTCTCTCTTTTTCCATCCTTTGGATTTTGCTTCCTTTTCCAGGTCTTTTAGTGTGTTTTTTATTTTCTTTCGCTTAAATTCGTCCTTTTTTTTTTCTTTTGTTTAGGAGTTTGAGCATAAAATAATTACAAAAGAATTTAGATGTGCAGGCTACATGATTTGGGTGTGATTTGCTTTTCTGACATTCACTTTGGTTCATGTCCTATTTTCCAAATAAGTTACCGACTTGAATTGAGTTGTGAAAAGCGAGATTTTTCTTCACCCTTTATTTCGCTTACCAACTCCTATGGGAAATTAAGGAAGAAGATTATCTGTCAAATCTTCTAACTTTGGGTTCATGTGTTTCTCATGGGAGACATGTCTGTTCATCAATTCATGCCATTTTGTTACTCAAAACATCAATTACGTGCAACTTTCACATTTTCTCCCATCACTCTTTCACTTTCTTTCCCTTCCGTCATTTCCACTGCTTGATTCATTCACCTCATTTTAATTTTATGTTTGTATCATGCTCCCAATGCATTTAATTACTCTTTGTCCTCTAGCTGAATTTGATGAGATAAGATAAACCCAGAGAAACTCTACTCTACTTTTTTTTTTTTTTTTTTTTTTTCATTTTGTCTTCTCTTCGTGCGCGTCAGGAAAATGGCAGAGCTTGGGTATCACAGAAGTTCCAAGAAGTGCAAAGAAAAATTCGAGAACGTGTACAAGTACCACAAGAGAACCAAAGAAGGTCGAAGTGGGAAACAAGATGGAAAAACATATCGTTTCTTTGATCAACTACAAGCCCTCGAGAACCACACTCCAACGCCCCATTCTCCCAACCCATCACCAAAACCACCACAATCAGCACCATCAAGAGTAATGGCAACAACAGCTGCATCAGTGTCACTACCAATTGCAACAGCAACAACAATTTCTTCATCATTGTCACTTCCAATTTCAACCACAACAACAGTGCCAATGCAGCCAATACTGTCCAACACCACTCTCAATAGTACTGTCCCCCATATCACTGTTCCATCAACAACACCACTCCCTATAACCATAGCCCAGCCCATTCTCACTACCCCATCAATACACCTCACAATCCCTTCCTATCCTCCAACAAACCCTACCACCAACACAACCCCACCACCCTCTTTCCCCACTCTCCCCACCGACACCTTCTCCAATTCTAGCTCCTCCTCCACCTCCTCCGACGAAACATTGGAAGGTAGGCGCAAGAGGAAGCGCAAGTGGAAGGACTTCTTCGAGAGACTAATGAAGGAAGTGATCGAGAAGCAAGAGGATCTACAAAAGAAGTTCCTGGAAGCCATAGAGAAACGGGAACACGACAGAATAGCAAGAGAAGAAGCGTGGAGAGTCCAAGAGATGCAAAGAATCAATAGAGAACGAGAAATCCTCGCACAAGAAAGATCCATAGCCGCAGCCAAAGACGCTGCCGTCATGTCATTCCTTCAAAAAATAGCCGAACAACAAAACCTCGGTCAAGCATGGAGCAGGATCAACCTCGTACAACAACCACCGCATCAACAACCCCAACCACCACTACAACAAGTACCACCATCTAGTGTAGCAACAACACCTATGCAACAACCACTGTCCGTGGTTGTTACACAGCCTGTGGTGTTGCCAGTAGTCTCACAAGTGACGAACTTGGAGATAGTGAAAGTTGATAACAACAATAATAATGGCGAGAATTTCACGCCATCGAGTTCTTCAAGGTGGCCAAAGGTGGAGGTTCAGGCATTGATAAAGCTTCGAACGAGCCTGGATGCAAAGTATCAGGAGAACGGACCAAAGGGTCCTCTCTGGGAGGAGATCTCATCCTCGATGAGGAAACTCGGGTACAACCGAAACGCCAAAAGGTGCAAAGAGAAGTGGGAGAACATCAACAAGTACTTCAAGAAAGTGAAGGAAAGCAACAAGCGGAGACCGGAAGATTCCAAAACGTGCCCTTATTTCCACCAGCTGGACGCGCTGTACAGGGAGAAGAGCAAGGCGGATAGCGTGGCAGTGGGGGTGAAGCCGGATAGCGCGGTGGCGCCGCTGATGGTGCGGCCGGAGCAGCAATGGCCACCTCAGGAGGATACGATGAGAGATAGGGACATCAGAATGGAGGACGTGGAGAATGAAGAGGATGAGTACGAGGAAGAGAGAGAGGTAGAGGGAGAGGGAGAGGAAGAAGAAGACGATGAAGAGGATGAAGAAGGTGGTGGAGGTGGGAAATATGAGATAGTGGTGAACAAAACAAGTGGTGCTTCAGTGGGTGCTTCAGTGGGGGCATCAACGGAGTAGAACGATGAAAGAAGGTGGTGGTGGTAGCAGCGTGGGGTGGGTCAGAGAGAGTGCAGGGGTTGTCGGAGGTGGTGGTGGCCATAGTGGTGGAGAAAGAATTTGAATATTCACGTACGGGTGAAGTTACACATGGCATGGGTATCGACCTGTGGAAGATGAGGTTTGGTTGGTACTTTGTTGTAGCATATAGTCAGTAAGATTATATGTTTTGCTCTTTTCTTTCCCCTTTTTTTTTTCTCCTTTCTTTTCTTTTCTGTTTTATAAAATTTGTTTATTTTTTTGGATAATAAATAAGCCCGATCGGAGGGGAATTTAAGATAGAGACCAATAAAGAAGAGAGAGACCTCAATTAAGGTTGTATTTTTTCTTTTACCTTCATCTTTTTTTTTTTTTACGTTCCTGGTGCTGTAAATGGGAGGAAATTAATTCCGGTTTTGTCTTTTTCTCTTTCAGTTTTGACATCTTCTTACGTTCATTTGACTTCCATTGACTTTTTTTCCAACATTTTTCCATATTATTTAAATACGTTTTTTAATAATATTATTTAAATATGTTTTTGAATATTATTCCATTAATTTTTTTATTAAATTTGCTCGTTATGAAATTAGTCTTTATCGTTATTTATTATATATGTGACATGCATTTAGATCTGTCACATTACTAATTAATCTGAAATAACGCACTGTAAAATATATTATGTCTAAATCTATATTCAGTTAATCGTTAAACAATAGTAAGTATCATTTTTTCTTTTAAGATTCACAAGTAACTTGATAATACTTTTCAGACACTAAAATTAAAATTTATTATATTTACACAAATTATTACTTGTAAAATTTAGTTTTAATTACATATATTCCATAAGTAATTAAAATGTACAGTACTTGATGGGAAAAGGGAAAAGGATGAGATTCTGGTGAATTAATTGCCCCGTTTTCCATTTTGCACTAACTTGTTAGCTATTTGTCAGATGTCATAAAAGAGGATCAGAAAATTATGGAATTTAACTGCTGTTGGTGCTGAAAAAATGGGTTGCAAGGAGAAGGTTTAATAGTGGTAGTGAAAAAACGAGAAGAGGGGGAAAAAAATAAAAGAAAATGATTAAATAAAAATCATATTAAAGGAGGCTTAAATTGTTGGGACAGTGACCCTACAGTTTGCATTGTATTGTATTGTAAGGGAGGGTTGTGAAAGCAGAAGATGGCAGCATCACACATGGAGTCATAAACCCTTGAAGGAGGGTCCACAGGGGGAATCTTGTGAGTTGTGAGTAACCTCACTCTGAAAAGAACCTAAAACACTAGCATGCAGTTGTTGTCTCTGTGGCACTGTGCACGCAAGGTGATGTGTTTCTCTTCATGGGTGTCAGTCCTAAGAAAGAGATGAAGCTTCATCATCATCATCATCATCATCTAATGGGTCAACTTTTTCTGCTGCTAATGTGCTTTTGTCAGGCTTTCATCAGCATCCAAATATCTAATCTAATCTAATGCTCATATCTCATCCCCGTTTCTGAAAACAATATGTACTTGTTTCACAAAAATGATTGAACTATTATTTTTTTTTCCTTCTATTTTCTGTCTCTAAAAACAGGTATATATTGATTGGTTTATAAGT